CAGCTGTAGTGTTAATTAGAGAATCATAGAGTTGGAAAGGCCATTGAGGGTCATCTAGTGATGCAGGAATCTCAGTTAATAATACACGATGGATGGCTATCCAACTTCTTAGAAATCTCCCCAGGGATGGAGAGTCCTAAGGGAGTCCGTTCCACTGTTCTTACCCTCGGCTCTTGCCCTCAGAAAGTTCTTCCTGTCGAGTCAGAATCTCATTTCTTGTAACTTGAATCCATTGGTTCAATATCACGCATGTTTCAGAGAGACATCCTGCTTTGTGCTGTTTGCCTGTGATAGCTGGCATGAGTTAAGGCACATTACTCGGTGGAAATGGGACGCAGGTAGTGCTGTGATTTAACCCACTGAGGCTCTTGGGCTTGCCGATCAGAAGGTCAGCGGTTCGAATACGCGTAATGGGGTGAGCTCCCGTTGCTCGGTCCCTGCTCCTGCCAACCTAGCAGTTCAAAAGCACACCAGCGCAAGTAGATAAATAGGTACTGCTGCGGCGGGAAGGTAAACGGTGTTTCCGTGTGCTGCTCTGGTTTCTGTCATGGTGTCCCATTGCGCCAGAAGCGGTTTAGACCCGGAAAGCTGTCTGCAGACAAACGCCCACTCCCTTGGGCTGAAAGCAAGATGAGTGCCGCAACCCCATAGTCACCATAGACTGGACTTAACTGTTCAGGGACCCTTTACTTTTTTTACTTTACTCTGTGGAAGTACTGTACATGCGTAAAAATTAACACTGTGGGTCTGTGTCTAATATCAGGTGATATACAGTGAGTTCCAAAAAACAAGAGCTCAACATGGGTTAAGATTACATTGCCTTGACTTAGAAATAAGTCTTCCTTGTTTTGCTGCTTCAGATCCCTGTTCTAACATTATGCAGGTCTTCAGCTTCATATAAGCTCTTTTAATCATAGATGTCTGCACCTCTACTTTAATTCCTGCTTGTATAGTTGGGCATTTATTTATTCTATAAAATAATAAGAATGTATATATATATATATAAATAAATCAAATTTACAAATCAGGTTTCAAGCAAAGAAAATATTGTAAATGGTTTTACCAAGTGAGTTGTTCCAAAAAGAAAAGTGGATCATCTTTCTGTAAACCTGTTGTCGTACATAGCACTGTTTATTGCTTATACACTATTATTATTATTGTTGTTATTATTATTTGTTAAATTTGGATGCTGCCGTCACCTGCAGGTCTTAGGTTGGTTTGCAGGATAAAATCACAACATAAAAACATGAAATATACAATAAAAACAAAAACAACCCAATATGATTATATCATCTAGCCTACACTGTACAGATGAGTGGCGGCTGTTGAAATTCAGACTCAAGAAGTGCATTAAATTTTATGAAATAAAATGAATGAATGAATGAATCTTGGCTATCTACTGCTGTTTCCTGGGAGATCTGGTGCCCGCTTCCGCCCTGTGGGCAAGAGCGGAGGAAATGGCTTCAAAAGCAGCCCGGAAGTCCCGCCTCCGGCTTGGGGAAATGGCCCGTCTGCGCCTTTGAACTCGGTGGTAAGCAGCCCTCCCCGCTTCCTGCGCCTGCGCCACTCGCCTCCTGGGTTGGAGAAACGTGCTTGGAGGGCAGCTGCGTCCAGGTGAGCAGGAGCAGATCTTTTGCGCGCTTTTTTGCAAAAAACAAAAATGGGGATTTAATCCCAGATGATTGGAGCAAAGTTGCTGGAGGGGGCAGAGCGGGAAGGGGGCAGCCTCGGGCATTGCAGATCTGGTGCATTGCAAATAATAATAATAATAATTAATAATAATTTATTTATACCCCGCCCTCCCCAGCCCAGACCAGGCTCAGGGCGCCTAACACCAAGTATAATAACCATGGATCAAAATGCAACTTAAAGGGGTGTGAAAGAAAGTGATAGAAGTGGAAAGAAATTGCAATTGAGTAGATTGGAAGTCTAGGACAAAGGTGGGGTGAGGGGTGGTGGATGGTGATGGGAAAAGGAATGGTCTGTGGGATTGAGTGTAGGTATGCTTGAACATTTTTTAAGGATTGTATGAAATGTATGCTTGTATATTCGCAATATGTGTGTATTCATGCTGAATTATTTTAATAATAAAAACTTTTCACAATTAAAACAACAACTTAAAACCAGATTAAAATGCAACATTCAAATGCAGCTTCATTTCAGTAGAAACTCAAATCAAAAACTTTTGTGGATGAAAACGTCAAATCTTCACCAAGGCCAACTATCCAGACGGGTCCTACGTGGGCCAGAAAAAAGCCAGGTCACTTGCAAGGTCACCCCCCCCCCCAGTTAGGATAAAGTTTAAAATGTGGCTGCGAAGGTACCCCTTTTAAAGAAAAATATATGAGGTGTTGTTTTTTTTGCTAAGGTAGACTGCGCCCGAGGCAGGAACCTCTCCTGTCTGGGGAGGCAAGATGGGCACCTCCATTGCAAGCAGCGCAGTGGATGCAAAACAGATCGTGGCCTCGTCTTTCAAATGCAACAATATTTTAATATTTTGTTGGAATCACCCAGAATGGCTGGGGAAACCCAGTCAGATGGGTGGCTAATAATAATAATTATAATAATAATGGTTTTCCAGCTCCGCTTTTATTGTATTTTTTGGCCACAAAAACTGCTTCTCCCCGGCTCAGTTTTCCCCAAGGGAGTTGCTTGCAGATCCTATCACTTGCTAATGCTGCAAGCGGAGATCAGGGCCAAATTCTAGTCCGGTTTGTGCAAGGAGATTAATGGGCCGGTGGCAACTTTTTGCAATAGCTATTCTAGTTTCACCTCCACCCTGGAGGTGGGAGGTTCCATCATCGCCCACTGGGTGTCCTTCACAAGCCTTGGGGCCAAAGGTGTTGTAAGCAAAATCTGCCCTTTTTCCTTTATGGGGTACCCAAGAGCCCATATAGAGTCCTTACGTACCAGGTTCCAATGTTGGCTGGGCAGACAAGAATGAATGAATATTTATGTCAGCCATCAGCCATAGCAATAAAACAACAGTGCAATATACAAAGAATAGAAATAAAAGTCAATTGTATAAAATACGTTTTGGGGTTTGGAATCAACAGTCAAATGGTGGATCTTCTTCTGATTGGCCCAGCTAAGAACCTTGCAACTGTAATAAATGAAAATCTGCCCTTATTCCCTTATGGGGGACACAAGAGCCCGTATAGAGTCCTTTGTAGGTTCTCCATCAGTCGGAGAAAATAACAGAGGCCAACCAGAGAATATCGAGAAGCAAAGCAGCTAGTAAGACTGATCTTTATTGATCTGCTGCAACAAGATGCTTCCCTCACACGCAGGAGAGGAGGAGGAACCCAGAACAATAGCGCACATGGCCTTATATAGACATTTTAAATGCCCTGCCCTGGAGCTCCAGACCCACCCCTCCATATATCATACATACATCACAGAAGGGGTGTAACCTAAGACTACCCCCCAGATACATCATACCTACATCTCAGAAAAGGCGGTCTACAGCAGAAATCTGAGTGCTTTGTTTACCTCCTATCTGCCAGGTTACCTGTTTAATGGTCACTTGATTGGATACCCTGGGGAGCCTGGCCAGTCTTTTGTAAAGATAAATACTTAGTTCCTGAGCCAGGTCAGAGGCTCACCCTATTCATACACAGACACTTAAGACAGGATTTGTGAATGAAAAGACAATGGGGAGGCTTTTCCGTTTTCCTTTGACCTTGCAGAGAAAACATTTGCTCAGTTTGAGAATTGCTGTAAACAAAAATCTGCCCTTTTCCCTTATGGGGTATGCAAGAGCCCTTACGTAGGTTCCCTATTGGTAGGAGAAAATAACAGAGGCCAACCAGAGTATATTGAGAAGCAAAGCAGCTAGTAAGCCTGATCTTTATTGATCTGTTGCAACAGGGTACTCCCTCACACGCAGGAGAGGAGGAGGAACCCAGAAAAATGGCGCGCAAGGCCTTATAAAGACTGTTGAAATTGCCACCCTGTAGATCAAGACAAATGGGACACAGGTGGCGCTGTGGGTTAAACCACAGAGCCTAGGGCTTGCTGATCAGAAGGTCGGCGGTTCAAATCCCCGTGATGGGGTGAGCTCCCGTTGCTCGGTCCCTGCTCCTGCCAATCTAGCAGTTTGAAAGCACGTCAAAGTGCAAGTAGATAAATAAGTAGTGCTCCGTCGGGAAGGTAAACGGCGTTTCCGTGCGCTGCTCTGGTTTGCCAGCAGCGGCTTAGTCATGCTGGCCACATGACCCAGAAGCTGTACGCCGGCTCCCTTGGCCAATAAAGCGAGATGAGCGTCGCAACCCCAGAGTCGGCCACGACTGGACCTAATGGTCAGGGGTCCCTTTAGATGAAGACCACTCCCAGAAACATCATGCATACATCACAGAAAAGGCTGTCTAAAACAAAAATTTGAATGTTGTTTTTCCTGTTTGCCAGGTTATCTGCTTGCCTTTCCTGATAGTCTGTCACCCATTAAAATCCTGATTACTCAATTCCTGAGACAATGGGAAGGTTCCCTGACCCCCCTCCCTCCATGCAGGGAAAACATTTGGTCAGTTTGGGAATCAAAAATGGTTTCAGGTCAGTCTTCCTGTGCTGATCTATGTGCATGTTTGGCTGGTAGACTTATGAACATTGAACATATATCTAAGACGCGGGGGGCGCTGTGGGTTAAACCACGACTGGACCTAATGGTCAGGGGTCCCTTTACCTTTACATATGCCTGCTCAAGTAGGAAACAGTTTCTTTACCTTTAATATATCTAAGACCTTAAAAATTCTATCACAAGGCCAGGAGTGGGTGTGTGGGGAGGGTGGGTCAGAGATCATGAGTCTGGCTCCAGAATGCAAACAGGCCAGGATCACGTGCTCGGCTGCAGCCGACTCTTCTCCACGCCTGCAGACAGTGCTGGCCTTGTGCAATGCACCCGTCCTCTGCCAATTGTGGGATGATCTGATCTCTGCCTATCTCGCACGCCTCTTGTTTGCTTCCAATCTTGCTTCCTCCTGCAGGCAGAAAACCGGGACACAAGGACACGAGAGTGAAGGAGGCAATCTCTGCAGCGCCTGGATTTGGGGAGGACATCAGCATGGCCAGCAGCTACCCTAAGCCGGAGGAGAAGACATTGCAGATCCTTCGGGATGCTGCCAATCGCCTTCGGATTCACTCCATCCGCGCCACCTGCGCCTCAAACTCTGGGTAATTCACTGGGACCCTGTAATTTTTCTAATTGTGGGAGATTTGGGGAGGTATTGAGGGCAGAATAAGAAGGGTCTGCTAGATCAGGCTAGAGACCAGCAGTTCGAACCCCTGGGGTGCAAGGAAGGGGACTTTCCATCACTTCCCTCCCAGACATTTTCCCTTAGTTCCTATGGGTCTCCTCTGGAGGAGGGAAGGAGGAGCCATCTGTGAGCTACCTAGCCTGTAAGAGAGGACCTCTCCCCACTCGTAGCTGGAATTGCATATTTGGGCAGCTTTGAACAATTTGCGGCAATTAAAATGTTAAAGGTTAAATCTTGTGGAGGGGGGAGTGTTAAGGTATATAGAATTGTACATATGGTTGATTTGAATATTGATTATGTATACCCAATGTATCAGCTGCCTGGGGGTTCTCACTGTTTGTTTTCACTGTTTGTGTTTTGGTTGTTGGTCAAAAAAAATTTTTTTTTATAATAATAAAAAACTTGCAACCTGGGGCTAGGCATACACTATGCTTAGGACGCAGGCGAGTCCTTGCTTCGCCATGGACTGACTTGGGCAGGTTTCCCTGATCATGGCTGCCACCGGCCTTTGACCAGCGCGGCTTCTCCCTCCTCCTTCCTGCTGCTGCCGTTTTCTCACTGTTTGCCTCCTGCCCTCTTGCTCCAGCCACCCCACGTCCTGCTGCAGTGCGGCCGAGATCATGTCTGCGCTCTTCTTCCACACCATGCGCTACAAGCCGGACCAGCCAGGCCACCGCAGCAACGACCGCTTCGTGCTCTCCAAGGTGAGGAGTCTCTGATGCCAACCACTCTTTTGCCCGCTGGGTGCTCCTCCAGATGTCTTGGACTACAATTCCCGTGAGAGGAATAATAATAATAATAATAATAATAATAAATATTTTTATTTATATCCCGCCGTCCCCAGCCAAAGCCGGGCTCAGAGCGGCTAACAACTATAAAAATAACACAGTTTACATAAAATCACACTCAAATAATTGAAATACATTCTAAAATCAATTCATTCTAAAATCAATTCATTCTAAAATCAATTCAAAAGCGAATTAATGGCAAGCATTGGGTTAATGTGGATTACCAAAGGAGGGGGTCAAACTGTGCCTTGGCCAAAGGCCTCGTGGAACAGCTCTGTCTTGCAGACACTGCAGAAAGATGTCAGGTACCGCAGGGCCCTGGTCTCTTGGGACAGAGCGTTCCGCCAGATCGGGGCCAAAGCTGAAAAAGCCCTGGCTCTGGTTGAGGCCAGCCTAACCGCCCTGTGGCCCGGGACCTCCAAGATGTTTTTGTTTGAAGACCATAAGTTCCTCTGTGGGACATACCAGGAGAGGCGATCCCGTAGGTACGAGGGTCCTAGGCTATAAAGGGCTTTAAAGGTTAAAACCAGCACCTTAAACCTGATCCTGTACTCTACCGGCAGCCAGTGCAGCTGGTATAGCACCGGGTGAATGTGATCTCACAGCGAAGACCCCGTGAGGAGCTTCGCTGCAGCATTCTGCACCTGCTGGAGTTTCTGGGTCAGTCTCAAGGGCAGCCCCACGTAGAGCGAGTTACAATAATCCAGTCTGGAGGTGACCGTCGCGTGGATCACAGTGGCTAGGTCAGGGCAAGAGAGGTAAGGAGCCAACTGCTTAGCTTGGCGGAGATGAAAAAATGCCGCCTTTGTTATAGCTGCAATCTGCGCCTCCATGGAAAGGGAGGTGTCGAAGATTACACCCAAACTCTTAACGGACGGTGCTGGCACTAATTGTGCCTCCGCAAGAGATGGGAGTTGCCCCCTCAATCCCATATCGTCCCGACCCAAAAAAGAGAAATGAGCAATGGTCACGCTGTGCTGGATGAGGCTGATGGGGTTTATAGTCCAAGACATCTTGAGGGGCGCCCAGCGGGCAAAAGCTGACCCTGGCACCGTCCAGGGAAGAGAGTGAGCTAGCTGCAAGCAGGTCCCCTCTTTCACCGCCCCAAAGCCCAAGCGGTCCCTGGGTTCACCTGCGATTCCTTGCCCTTTGAACATCTTGACCACCATGCCTCTGGCCTTCCCCTTCTGCTGCCTCGCTTGCCACAGCGCCTCCCCATTGGTTTGTTAATTTATTTTCATTTATTAAATTTGTCCGCCGCCCTTCATTTGTAGATCTTGGGGCAGTTCACATCGTAAAAATGCAGTACAAAAACAAACACCACAATGCATTATGAGGGTTGCAAGCAGGAGGTTCCTTCCTCTGGGCAAAGGGTGACCCCTGCTATTTCTGTGCTTCCTCAATCCCTGAGCAGGGCCATGCTGCTCCTGTGCTCTACGCTGCCTGGGCTGAGGCCGGCTACCTCAACGAGTCCGATCTGCTGAAACTGAGGAAAATCGACTGCGACCTGGAAGGCCACCCAACCCCGGTAAGCGCTTTCCTTCGTACGGCTCTGGCTCTCGGTAGTCGGTGCTGCGTAATGGGCCCAGCGCTAGAAATTAGCCGGGTGCCAGGCACGTTTTGCAACTGGTGCACATCCAACTGTGGAGATCGCTGGACGCCAAGTCGGCGACTGACATCTCCCTCTGGCTTCCTTGAGCCAGGTGAGCAGAAGAACTTAGTTATTGAACCCTTTTCCTCCAAGGACTCCATGGTTCATTTCCCTCCTTGGTTAATTCCCACAACAACCCTGTGAAGTAGGCAATGAGGTTATGGCCTCCTTGCTTCAGAACAGGGGTCAGCAAACTGGGAACCAGATGCGGCCCCCCCAGGCTCGTAAATCCGGCCCATGGACCCTGCCACCCGCTCAATCAGTCCCCCCGCGCTGCGGATGCCTTGCCGCGCGGGGACTGACTTATGCGATGCTGGCATGGCTTCAGATTGGCTGTATGTGCTGGTCCCGGGGGCTAACCGAGAGGCGAGGTCCGAGTCCAGTCCAAGGTCGAGGGTGCGGTATGGAGGCTGTCCGTCAAAGCTGAAGCTGGGTCCAAGGCAGGGAGTCGGGTGTGGTCAGGAACTCTGGCAGAAGAGCAGGACAGGGTGCAGGCAGGAACAGGATACCACCAACGTTGCTCCCACAACTTGGGACTGGGGCTGACTGGCTTTTATCTGCCCTGAGGCATAGGGCAGCCCTGGTCCACAGGTGACTGGCCTCTCCTGGCCTGGAGGCGAGCACTCCTCCTGCGGGAACTTAGTTCCCTCTGCCTCTCTGCCCTGAGCCTCTGCAGCTCAGGAGAGGCTGGAGGGTTACTGGACCCAGAGGCAACCTCAGCTTCCCCTGATGGGGCTGCTGCAGGCAATGGGTCCTCCATCACCTCTGGAGCCAGAGCAGACTCAGCTGGTGCCTGCACCTGAGGATCCAGCACAGGTGAGGACCCTTCAGGCTCAAGCCCCAGCCCCGGCTCAGCTGGTTCTGGAGGCGGGGAATCCTGTGCAGGCTGGGATTCCTCAGGTTCAGCCTCTGAGTCCAAATCCCAGGCAATCACACTGTAGGAAGTTCCTGCAACCAATCCGCAGCCTTGCCGCCTGCACGCTGAAGTAAACCCGGTGCAGCCATGGACGGAGAGGAGGGCGCTGGGTCTGGGCTGCGCCATGGGCATCTTGGCGGGCGCGTTGCAGGGCTTCAGCCGGAGGTTGGCATGCCTGCTGGCCCTGGTGCCCGGCTCAGCGCTGCTGCTGGTGGCACGCTCGACGGCCGTGCTGGAGCAGATGGAGGGTGAGCTGCGCACCGCCTGCCCGGTGCTCCACGTGCGAAGCCTGCCCGCTGACAGGCTGCAGTGCGTGGCGCACACCACCTGGGAGCTCTGCAGAGACGGGCCGGTGGAGTGGCTTTTGCTCGTCAACAACGCCGGTGAGTGGGCGCCGCCACGACGTGCTCCTGAGCGCGTGCAGAGTTCGTTCCTCCTCCAGGTCCAGAGGCTGCTGCAGGGTATTTATTGCGAAGTGTTACCAGTCACCTGTTGAGTGAAACTGGAAACTGACTTGTCTGTTTTGATTGTCAGACCCATCTTCCCTTGGAAACGCGATGGTGTCCAGCACACTCCTGCTACGCGGCTCTGAGTCATTCCGCTTCTCCCGGCTACAGCAGAGTTTTATCAGCAGTGGTGTGCCAGTGCGTAAGGATTTATTAGCATGGCAGTAAAGCTAATAACACGGGTGGCGCTGTGGGTTAAACCACTGAGCCTAGGACTTGCCGATCAGAAGGTCGGCGGTTCAAATTCCCGCGACGGGGTGAGCTCCCGTTGCTCTGTCCCTGCTCCTGCCAACCTAGGTAAACGGTGTTTCCGTAGCTCTCAGACACAGCTTCTGCTATCCTAGGTAAAGGTAAAGGGACCCCTGACCATTAGGTCCAGTCGTGGCCGACTCTGGGGTTGCGGCGCTCGTCTCACTTTCTTGGCCGAGGGAGCCGGCGTACAGCTTCTGGGTCATGTGGCCAGCATGACTAAGCCACTTCTGGCAAACCAGAGCAGCGGACGGAAACACCGTTTACCTTCCCGCTGGAGTGGTACCTATTTATCTACTTGCTCTTTGAGGTGCTTTCGAACTGCTAGGTTGGCAGGAGCAGGGACTAAGCAACGGGAGCTCACCCCGTCGCGGGGATTTGAACCGCCGACCTTCTGATCGGCAAGTCCTAGGCTCAGTGGTTTAACCCACAGCGCCACCCGCGTCCCTTTTGAGGCTCTGTGGTTTACAGCAGCAAAAACAACAAAACAGCCAGGAGAAAGCGGCGACATGTTGCTTCTCCTTCGCAGCCAAAACAGAAAATCAAAAGTAACTTCCCCTTCGTTCGTGCAGCACACCTCGGGGACAGGACACCATGTCCCTTGAGCTATTAACCCTGTGAGCTCTGGAGCTCCTCACATTTATATTTTTCAAAATATAGTCCTGCCCCCCACAAGGTCTGATGAAAAAGTTTGCTGACCCCTGCTTTGGAATCTGTTGGGTATGTGTTGCTGGTGGAGCGGCCAGGAAAGCGCCTTGACCCCTGATCCAGAACAGTTGGGGAACAAAAGGATCAGGACCTTGCGGGGCTAATTGGTTTGCGATGTTATCCTCACCCCACGTTCCTCTCACTTTTTTTCTCCCGCGTTTACAGAGGCTGCCTTTTGTGGACGTGGCCACTGGCTCACTGGGACAAGGCCTGGGAGCTGCCTGTGGCATGGCCTACACTGGGAAATACTTTGACAAGGCCAGGTGAGGAACTTACTGGGGAAACTGGGAAGATCCACCCGGTTGGAGCGCCATGTGCCAATTCCAAACGCTTTCTGTGGTTCGGCACGAGTAAACAGTTGGCGTAATTGATATAAACTGTGCGTAATTGATATAAACAGCTCCCTTCAGTCAGATACAGTGGTACCTTGGCTCTCAAACTTAATTCGTTCCAGAAGTCCGTTCCAAAACCGAAGCGTTCAAAAACCAAGGTGCACTTTCCCATAGAAAGTAATGCAAAACGGATTAGGGAAGTTTTTAATGTCTGACGCTGGATTGTTTTTAATATTTGGTTGGAAGCCACCCAGATGGGTGGGGTATATAATAAATTATTATTATTATTACATTAATCCATTCCAGACTTTTATAAACAACCCCTAAAACAGCAATTTAACATGAATTTTACTCTCTAACGAGGCCATTGATCCATAAAATGAAATGTTTAGAATGATACCACATAGGGAAATGTTCCCTGATACCAAGATGAGGGATTCTATGGAATGCAGATAGAATTGATAAGAATAATGATCTATTGTAACCTTGATGGAAGCGTACAAATGGCTCATCTTCCTCTTTTTTTCTTTTTTTTCTTTTTTTCTTTTTCCCCCCTCATCCCCCTCCTTCTTTCCTTTTTCTTTTTTTCTTTCCCATAATGGCTTATGTTTTATGCTGTGTACTTTGATATTTTTGTAGTTTTTTAGCTTTTTTCATTATTATTATTATTAAGGAATTTTCTTTTGTAATTTTGGTTGTCTGTATTTATATGTATTTGTTTAAAGCAAAATAGAAGTCTATAACAACAACAACAACATTAATTTTGTTATTTATATCCCCGCTTCCTTGGGCCCTGACCTGCCTCCCTCTCCCCCCAGTTACCGCGTGTACTGCCTGCTGGGCGACGGCGAGAGCTCAGAGGGCTCGGTCTGGGAAGGTCTGGCCTTTGGCTCCCAGTACCAGCTGGACAACCTGGTGGCCATCTTCGATGTCAACCGGCTGGGGCAGAGTGAGGCCGCCCCCCTGCGCCATGACATGGAGGTCTACCGCAAACGCTGCGAGGCCTTCGGGTGAGTAAGCGCCGCCGGCTGCTTCTGCCTTCGAACCTCCTCTTTGCGGCAATGGCAGGCGGCGGTTCCCAAACTTCCTTTGCTCCAGAGCAAAATTTTGCTTGTGACTTTTTTATTCATACGAAATGGTTTGGAAAGCACATCTCCGGTTGTCTTGGTATCGCTTGATTTCTTGTTTTGAAAAGATACCGATCCATATTCTGCCAATTTTTCAAAGAACGTGTTTTAATATTACACTGAAAAGTTTTTTAAAAGTTTCTTTGAATGCCCTTGAATCTTGAATTGAAGATTAAGGTAGAAGGTTGATAGAATATAAATTTTGTGCCCGTGTTTCTTTTTCTCTTCTTGTCCCCCCCCTTCTTTCTTTAAACGTACAGCCCCTTACTTTTTAGGAGGGAAAAGTGTGTCTTATAGAGAGAAAAATACGGTATTTTCTTCTCTTGGGATATTAGCTTTGTTTGGTTTTTATTGTACTACATGTTGAAAACCTTTAATAATCAATAATAAAGAATCTTCCTGTCAGACTTGGTGGCTCACAGATTGACGTTGAATCCTGACAAGACAGAAGTACTGTTTTTGGGGGACAGGAGGCGGGCAGGTGTGGAGGACTCCCTGGTCCTGAATGGGGTAACTGTGCCCCTGAAGGACCAGGTGCGCAGCCTGGGAGTCATTTTGGACTCACAGCTGTCCATGGAGGCACAGGTCCATTCTGTGTCCAGGGCAACTGCTGACCAGCTCCATCTGGTATGCAGGCTGAGACCCTACCTGCCCGCAGACTGTCTTGCCAGAGTGGTGCATGCTCTAGCTATCTCCCGCTTGGACTACTGCAATGCGCTCTATGTGGGGCTACCTTTGAAGGTGACCTGGAAACTAAAACTAATCCAGAATGCGGCAGCTAGACTGACCGCTGGGAGCGGCCACCGAGACCACATAACAGCGGTCCTGAAAGACCTACATTGGCTCCCAGTACATTTCCGAGCACAATTCAAAGTGTTGGTGCTGACATTGAAAGCCATAAACGGCCTCAAAGGCCCAGTAGACCTGAAGGAGCATCTCCATCCCATCGTTCTGCCTGGACACTGAGGTCCAGTGCCAAGGGCCTTACGGCGGTTCCCTCGCTGCAAGAAGCCAAGTTACAGGGAACCAGGCAGAGGGCCTTCTTGGTAGTGGCACCCGCCCTTGGAACGCCCTCCCACCAGATGTCAAAGAGATAAACAACTACCAGACTTTTAGAAGACATCTGAAGGCAGCCCCATTTAGGGAAGCTTTTAATGTTTGATGAATTATTGTATTTTAACATTGTGCTGGAAGCTGCCCAGAGTGGCTGGGGAAGCCCAGCCAGATGGGCGGGGTATAAATAATAAATTGTTATCATTATTATTATGACTATCCTCTCCTGCCACACCTTTTGGGAACCTCTGAGTTAAGGAGAGCTCGGCTGCTGGATCTGGCCAGTGGCCCTTTTGGCTGCTGGATCCGGCCAACGGCATCCTGTTCTTGCAGCTGCCAGCCAGATCTGGGAAGCCTAAAGCCGACCTCCTTCCCTTCTTCTTCCAGGTGGAATACGTACGTTGTGGATGGGCATAAGGTGGAGGAGTTGTGCCAAGCCCTGTGGCAGGCCAGCCAGCAGAAGGGGAAGCCCACGGCCATCGTGGCCAAAACCTTCAAAGGGCGAGGAATTGCAGGTGAGCCTGTGGCCCCTTTGTCCTGTGGGGGGGGGAGGGGACCTGCTTGCGGCAGTCATTCTGGTCCCTGGACGGTGCCTGGGTCAGCCTTCGCCCTCTTGGCACCCCTCCAGGTGTCTGGAACTACAACTCCCACCATCCCTGACCAACGCAGTGTGACTGTTCCTCAGTTGGATCTTTTTTTTACATAGCGGTATTTTATGTATTGAGGGACGTGGGTGGTGCTGTGGGTTAAAACCACAGAGCCTAGGGCTTGCCGATCAGAAGGTCGGTGGTTCGAATCCCTGCGACGGGGTGAGCTCCCGTTGCTCGGTCCCTGCTCCTGCCAACCTAGCAGTTCGAAAGCATGTCAAAGTGCAAGTAGATAAATAGGTACCGCTCTGGCGGGAAGGTAAACGGTGTTTCCGTGCGCTGCTCTGGTTCACCAGAAGCGGCTTAGTCATGCTGGCCACATGACCCCGGAAGCTGTACGCCGGCTCCCTCGGCCAGTAAAGCGAGATGAGTGCCGCAACCCCAGAGTCGGCCACAAGTGAACCTAATGGTCAGGGGTCCCTTTACCTTTTATTTTTATGTGTTGTGACGTGGCTGTTACTTCTATTGATCACGATCCAGTAACGCCTTTATTGTAATCGTCGGGAGTGATTTCCCGCTGATGTATGACCTGTTGTTCTTTGCTGAGACTTAACTTTACGTGTAATATTCATATTTTGAAGAGTGCATTGGGGACCATACCTCTATTTAAATGGAAGTTGCTTTTTTTATACAGTCATCTCTTTTATTATGATTTATGTGCTGTGTCTTTTAAAATAATTTTTATTAAATTTTTCCATTTAAAACATATCTAATCACATCCACTTGATTATCCAGTTTACTTCTTGGGCTCTTTAGAGCCTATCAACATCCTTCCCTCCCACCTCTTGCCTTTCAAAGTTAACTTTATATCACAGCGTTTTATACATTTCCAGTCTAATATAACTCATTGCAAATACCTCAAAAATTTAATATTAATTAGAAGTGTAAATAAATCTGTTGACAAGTCTCTTCAGATATACCTCAAAGTGTTTTAAATAATGTAGAAGGTAGAATCCATCGTTACAGATCTTCAGATAACGCCACTAGTCTTTTTAATTTCTTACAATGGTCTTTTGTTATTATTTATTTGTATCATCGTAGCATGTGTCGGTCTTTGTTGTATGTTTTGCTGTTTCTATATTTCCCAAACCGCCTTGTCTATAGCAATGCAGAAAGGCGGTGTACAAATTGAGAGTGAAATGCAATGGAAAAACAACCGATGGGAGTTGTAGTTTAAAACACCTGGAGGGCGCAAGGTTGGCAAAGTCTGACTCCCTGAGTGTTCTCTTGCCTCAGGTGTGGAAGATGCGGACAACTGGCATGGGAAGCCCATGCCCAAGGAGAAAATGGAGTCCATCATCAACGCTCTCCAGGGCCAAATGCCGGCCAATAAAGTTTATACCATCCTGCCGCCAGCCGGAGACGTAGCCCAGGTCACCACTGAGGAGATCAAGATGCCGTCTCCACCCGCTTTCAAAATAGGAGAAAAGGTACTGCCGGGGCAGCGGGTTAGAATCATAGAACTATTGAGCACTTCCATCCATGAAAGAATGGCAAATTAAATTTTGTGAAAATACCGTATTTTTTGCTCTATAAGACTCACTTTTTTCCTCCTAAAAAGTAAGGGGAAATGTGTGTGCGTCTTATGGAGTGAATGCAGGCTGTGCAGCTATCCCAGAAGCCAGAACAGCAAGAGGGATTGCTGCTTTCACTGCGCAGTGATCCCTCTTGCTGTTCTGGCTTCTGAGATTCAGAATATTTTTTTCCTTGTTTTCCTCCTCCCAAAACTAGGTGCGTCTTATGGTCTGGTGCATCTTATAGAGCGGAAAAAAACGGCATACCGTATTTTTCGCTCCATAAGACGCACTTCTCCCCTCCTAAAAAGTAAGGGGAAATGTGTATGCGTCTTATGGAGCGAATGCCTCATAGAAAAGCCTGCAGGAGCCGCGGATGCTTTAAAGAGTGCGCCGCTCTTGGGGGCTTTTCCCCAGGAGGGAGAAGGGAATGACTGGCCGCGTCAGTCCCTTCTCCCTCCTCATAGAAAAGCACGCAAAAGCTGTGCACTCTTTAAAGGGTCCACGGCTTCTGTGGGCTTTTCTATGATGTGGGGGAATTCCCCCACCTCCCGGTAAAGCCCCCAAGAGCCACACTCCCTTTCACGAGCCATGTGGAGCATGTGTGCGGCTCTTGGGGGCTTTTCTCTCCTGAGAAAAAGCCTGCAAAAGCCGCACACATGCTCCACGCGGCTCGTGAAAGGGAGCGCTGAGCAGAGCCTGGGACGCATACAGGTTCTGCTCAGTGCTCCCTTTAAAGAATATTTTTTTCTTGTATTCCCCTTCTAAAAACAAGATGCGTCTAATGGTCAGGTGCGTCTTATGGAGCGAAAAATATGGTATATAGTACATCTGGCAAGACTCACAGCATTCATAAGGGGACAATCAAACTAAAAATTATTAAAAGAATGGGGATGTGCTAAAGAGTATATGAAAAAACATTGTTCTGGAGTAAGCATATCGGTATGTAACGAATGAAGCTTTGCAGGGTTAAAGAAAGAGAAAAATGGTGCAGAAAGTATAAAGATAGAAGTAATCTACATTGGACACAACAACTTAGAAAGAGTAAAAATTTCAAAGTCTTAGAACAAAGGAAGTCAATATGTGTATATGTACAGTACATAATGATTAGAATGCTGATACAGTTTTATTTGTAGATGTGTGTTTTTGTTTTTTGTTTTTCCCCTCGTGTTTTCTTTTTTTAATGTTTGTTCTGTTTTATTTTGGATTTGTACTGTTTTATTTTGTTTTTGGATTTGTACTGTTTTATTTTGTTTTGTGTTTTTTCTCTCTCTTGTGTTTTGCTTTTTTTCTTGTTTGTACTGTTTTATTTTGGATTCAATGTTGGTAATTTTTGTTGTAATTTTGCATTGAAAAAACAACAACTATTGAGCACTTATGGCCTTCCTTGCTGTCTAACTCCACAATTCCACAGTTACAAAAAGTCCCAAACGCTGTGCCCTTTCCTCACAGGAAAACACCTCTGTACCTGCTGAGAGCAGGTGTGTGCTTTGACGGCCGAACGCAGGTAGGTGCCTTTGAGGGGTCTCTAACGTGGTTAACCTCCTCCTGTTCCTCCCCGCAGATGGCCACTCGCAAGGCCTACGGCTTAGCCCTGGCCAAGCTGGGCAGCGCCAGCCCTCGCGTGGTGGCGCTGGATGGCGACACGAAGAACTCGACGTTTGCCGAGCTGTTCAAGCAAGCCCACCCAGAGCGCTACATCGAGTGCTTCATCGCCGAGCAGAACATGGTGAGCCTGCAAGGGGGCGTCTCCGGGGGAAGAATGCGGGTGCCGACACCTTAATTTTTTTATTGTCCACCCTTCACCCTCGGATCCGGGAGGCGAGTGACAGCATTAAAACACACGGGGGTCCAGCTCCGAGGGCCTGGCAGCGGTTCCCCCACTGCAAGAAGCGAAGTTGCAGGGCCTTTTTGGTAGTGGCACCTGCCCTATGGAACACCCATCAGATGTCTAGGAGATAAATAACTACGCAGTGGTTGCTCGGGTTGTGAATGTGATCCGTGCGGGATGCATGTTTGCAACCCGCGTCTGCGCGTGTGTGGGTTGCAATTTGGCGCTTCTGCACATGCGCAAAGTGCGATTTAGCGCTTCTGCGCATGCGCGACTGCCAAAACTCGGAAGTAACGCATCCTGGTACTTCCAGGTTTTGGCAGTCCGCAACCCGAAAAATCGCAACCTGAAGCGGCTGTAACCCGAGGTATAAGTTTGAGAAGACATTTGAAGAGGGAAGTTTTTAATGTTTGCTGTTTAACAGTGTTGTTAATATTATATGCAGCCAGATGGGTGGCATATACCGCGTTTTTCCGTGTATAAGACTAGGTTTTTTAATCAAAAAAATTGGTTTACATTTTTTTAGATATGCTTTGAGAGAGTCTTTGAACCTCTTTTGTTGACCACCAGCATTACGCTTTCCATTTTTAAGTTTGGAATAGAGCAGTTGCTTTGGAAGACGATCATCAGGCATCTGCACAACATGACCAGTCCAATGAAGTTGATGTTGAAGAATCTTTGCTTCAACACTGGTGATCTTTGCTTCGTCCAGTACACTGGCATTAGTTCACCTGTCTTCCCAAGTTACTACTACAGTCATACCTCATATTACATTTGCTTCAGGTTGCACATTTTCAGGTTGCGCCCCGCGGCGACCCGGAAGTAACAGAACGGGTTACTTCCGTGTTGCGCCGCTCGCAGGTGCGCAAAATGACGTCATGCGCAGAAGCGGCAAATCGCGACCCGCGCATGCGCAGACGCGGGTTGCGTTCTTTTCAGGTTGTGAACGGGCCTCTGGAATGGATCCCGTTCGCAACCAGAGTTACCACTGTACTCTTATTATTATTATTATTGCTACTGCTGCTGCTAACCTTGTTTTGCGCTGTGCAGGTCAGTGTGGCCCTTGGCTGTGCCGCCAGGAACCGCATGATCCCCTTTGCCAGCTCCTTCGCGGCGTTCTTCACCCGGGCGTTCGACCACATCCGGATGGCGGCCATTTCCCACGCCAACATCAAGCTGTGTGGGTCCCACTGTGGGGTTTCCATCGGTATGTATGGGGCCTGATGCGCAAGGCCTGCCTGCCTTACTTATAGCACTTACGGCCTTCCTTGTCTCAGAGGAGCTTGAGGGGGGCAAACGCGGTTCTTTCTTCTCCCCACCGCTTTTTCATTACAACAACCTTGTTTATTTTTAATATTTTTTTATTTTTAAAATATTAAATATATTTATTTTATTAAAATAATTCAACATTAATACATACATATTCCGAATATACAAGCAAACATACATTTCATACAACCCTTAAAAATATTCATACATACCCACACTCAATCCCACACATACTTCCTTTTCCTTGTGTTAGACGTCCAATCTACTCAATTGCAATTTCTTTCCACTTCTATTACTTTCTTTCACACACTTCTAAACCAACTTTCTGCTTCTTTTTCTGTCACACATTGTTATCCATCTTATTTAGTGTTTCAGCATTTAAAACGGAACTTGTTTATTCTAACAGGAGTTCTGATTTTTTAATATGATTTTGCAAATATCCTTTAAGCACCTTCCAGTCCTTGTCCATTTTCTCTTTTGAGATCCTTCCAATTTCTCCCATTGTTTTGGATATATTGTAATACTCCAGTAGTTTGGCAAGCCACTCTATTTTTGTTGGTGTTATACCACTTTTCCAATTTTTGGAAATTGGAAAAGTCATTACAACAACCTTGCGAGGTAGGTGCAGCTGAGAGGCGGTGCCTGGTCCGCAGTCGCCCAGCGAGCTTCATGGTGGGCGAACAACATCTCAGGAGCTGCATGCGGCCCCCGGTCTCACATTATGTGACCCCCGGCGCCCCATTCCTCCACCCAAGCAAGAGTTCCTTCCTTCCATCCTGTTTGTTTTCTTGTTTTCCCCTTTTAAGGTGCATCCCCTTCTATCTTCGTAGTTTCAGAAAAGCACAGGGGCATAAATATAATTTGGACTATAATTTGGCCTTACTTATAGCACTTACGGCCTTCCTTGTCTCAGAGGAGCTTGAGGGGGGCAAACGCGGTTCTTTCTTCTCCCCACCGCTTTTTCATTACAACAACCTTGTTTATTTTTAATATTTTTTTTATTTTTAAAATATTAAATATATTTATTTTATTAAAATAATTCAACATTAATACATACATATTCCGAATATACAAGCAAACATACATTTCATACAACCCTTAAAAATATTCATACATACCCACACTCAATCCCACACATACTTCCTTTTCCTTGTGTTAGACGTCCAATCTACTCAATTGCAATTTCTTTCCACTTCTATTACTTTCTTTCACACACTTCTAAACCAACTTTCTGCTTCTTTTTCTGTCACACATTGTTATCCATCTTATTTAGTGTTTCAGCATTTAAAACGGAACTTGTTTATTCTAACAGGAGTTCTGATTTTTTAATATGATTTTGCAAATATCCTTTAAGCACCTTCCAGTCCTTGTCCATTTTCTCTTTTGAGATCCTTCCAATTTCTCCCATTGTTTTGGATATATTGTAATACTCCAGTAGTTTGGCAAGCCACTCTATTTTTGTTGGTGTTATACCACTTTTCCAATTTTTGGAAATTGGAAAAGTCATTACAACAACCTTGCAAGGTAGGTGCAGCTGAGAGGCGGTGCCTGGTCCGCAGTCGCCCAGCGAGCTTCATGGTGGGCGAACAACATCTCAGGAGCTGCATGCGGCCCCCGGTCTCACATTATGTGACCCCCGGCGCCCCATTCCTCCACCCAAGCAAGAGTTCCTTCCTTCCATCCTGTTTGTTTTCTTGTTTTCCCCTTTTAAGGTGCATCCCCTTCTATCTTCGTAGTTTCAGAAAAGCACAGGGGCATAAATATAATTTGGACTATAATTTGGTCTTTTTTATTTTAGTTTTTTATTTTAATTGGAATATTATGATTGGATATATTAATTGGATGTTTTTTATTGGAAAATCAATAAAAGTGATTTTTTTTTAAAAAAAGAAAAGCACAGGGGCTAAGATTATTTTGCTGTAAATGAACTGATGTTGGTTATCAGTGACTAGCTGTTGAGAGGGGGCGCCTCTGAGGTTTGTCTCATGTGCTCTCCCCTGTTTCGTATTTTTTAAATAATATATTTATATCCTGGGTTGGCAAACTGATTTGTTTGCATTTTCCTGTGAAAAACATCAGGAGCGCACCATTGCCCTGAAAGTACAGTGGTACCTTGGTTTGCAAATGTCTTCGTTTGCATACATTTTGGATTACCAGCATGTCAAACCCGTATGTGCGTGTCTTGTTTGCAACCTTTTTTTTTGGATTACAACCCATTTTTTTTGGATTACGAACAAATTTTTTTTGGACGTCCCATTGGCAAACGCGCGCCTTGGGTTACAGCCTGTTTTGGTTTATAAACGGACCTCCAGAATGGATTGTAAACCAAGGTACCACTGTATTTATTATTGCTTACTTCATAAAAAGGATACACCGCTCGATTGTGAAAAACCTCAAAGTGGTTTGCAAAAAAATAGAAAGCAACAAATTTATCCATTGGAAGAATTGGGAACGATAGCTTAAGATTTTCAGAAGTCACAATAACAGCGGAACAAAACTTTAGACAAGCACCTGAATGGGCTTGTCTAAAAAAAAATTGGTTTTGGCAGCCGCCAAAAAAGAGTACAGTGAAACCTCCTGCCTGACATCAATAGGCAGGGGGTTCCAAAGTCTATGTGCTTCTGCACTAAAATATCTTGTTATTACAAATGCAGAATTGGTATTATGCGGCACGTGTAAGAGTGCCAGTCCCACCGATCAAATTGGGGGCATCTCTGGGGTATGGCAATCTTGGAGGTAAAGGTAAAGGGACCCCTGACCATTAGGTCCAGTCGTGACCAGCTCAGGGGCTGCGACGCTCATCTCACTTTACTGGCCAAGGGAGCCGGCGTACAGCTTCCTGGTCATGTGGCCAGAATGACTAAGCCGCTTCTGGCAAACCAGAGCAGCGCACGGAAACGCCGTATACCTTCCCGCCGGAGCGGTACTTATTTATCTACTTGCACTTTGAGGTGCTTTCGAACTGCTAGGTTGGCAGGAGCAGGGACTGAGCAACGGGAGCTCACCCCGTCGCGGGGATTCAAACCGCCGACCTTCTGATCGGCAAGTCCTAGGCTCAGTGGTTTAACCCACAGCACCACCCGCGTTCCTTCTGGTTCCAATAATAATAATAATTTCATTATTTATACCCTGCCCACCTGGTTGGGTTTCCCCAGCCACTATGGGCGGCTTCCAACAAAGATTAAAAATACACTAAAATATCACACATTAAAAACTTCCCTGAACAGGGCTGCCTTCAGATGTCTTCTAAAAGTCAGATAGTTGTTTATTTCCTTGACGTCTAATGGGAGAGCGTTCCACAGGGAGGGTGCCACCACCGAGAAGGCCCTCCGCCTGGTTCCCTGTAACTTGGCTTCTCGCAGGGAGGGAACCGCCAGAAGGCCCTCGGATCTGGACCTCAGTGTCCAGGCAGAACGATGGGGGTGGAGACGCTCCTTCAGGTCCCAAGTTGTTAAAAGTAGGGTGTGGTGGCGTTTCTGGCTGATTCCCTGGTTTACGTTCCTGGTCGCTTCTCTCTCCATCTCCTCTTCTTGGCTGTGAGGATTAAGCTCTTGTTCCCTTTGTATCCTGCTTTCCCCCTCAGGGGTCCAAGACTCTGTGCTTTGCCATCTCCCCCCATCTCCCCTTTTATCTTCGGTCCTGCCAGGTAGGTTAGGCGGAGAATTGCAAAACTGTACCTGCTCGGAGTGTTTTTGTGGTTTGATAATCTGAGTTGACTCATTGCATCTTCCGGTTTGTATTTTGCTTTGAACTAATTTGGAGCGGAGCAGAGCAGTTAAAGCGCTGGGGTTGGGTGGGGGTCTAACTCCTGCTATCCCAGCATGTTAACACACCACCTCGGGGCGGGGGGGGGGCTGCGGATGCTACACTTGTGTTCTGCTTCGGATGCTTAATAATAATAATAATTTATTATTTATACCCCACCCATCTGGCTGGGTTTCCCCAGCCACTCTGGGCGGCTTCCAACAAAATATTAAACTACAATAGTCTATTAAACATTAAAAGCTTCCTTTCCTTCAGATGTCTTCTACAAGTCTGGTAGTTGTTCTCTTTGATATCGGATGGGAGGGCGTTCCACAGGGCGGGTGCCACCACTGAGAAGGCCTTCCTGCCTAGTTACTTCTGGGTTTCGCTGCATGCGCAGAAGCACTAAGTTACGCTTTGCGCATGCGGACAAGCGCCAAATCGCGCTGCGCACCTGCGCAGGTACGATGCTTCAGGTTGCGTTCTTTTCATGTTGCGAACGGGCCTCTGAAAAGGATCCCGTTCGCAACCAGACGTTCCCCTCTACTTGGTTGAGCAGCCATGTACTAAATCCGAGTGGAGGTACAGAGCTGCATTCCACAATTTGCGCAGAAGCGTAAGGTTGGAAGGGAACCCCAGTGGCCATCTAGCCCAACCCCCGGCAGTGCAGGAACTGTAGCACCAGGAGGCGCTGTTGTGGTTGTCTTTCCCTCCCTGTGCTTTCTCTGGCGTGCGGCTGGAGGGTCACGCTGTTCCCGCTGCCTCCCCAGGTGAGGACGGACCTTCTCAGATGGCCTTGGAGGACATCGCCATGTTCAGGACCATTCCGGGCTGCACCGTCTTCTACCCGAGCGACGCTGTGTCCACTGAGCATGCTGTCCTTCTGGCTGCAAACACCAAGGTACTGCCTACGTCCGGTTAAAACATTGTTGCCGGCTCGGGGGAAGCGGATGGGGAAACCACAGCTCTCCGAAACCCCGATTTACAGTGGTCCCTTGGTTCTCAAACGCCTTGGTACTCAAATGCCTTGGAACCCAAACACTGCAAACCCGGAAGTAAGTGTTCCAGTTTGCGAACTTTTTTCGGAAGCAAAAACATGCTCCGTTTTGAGTGTTACTCTTCCGATTTGAGTGCTACACTTCTGTTTTTGCTATTTATTTTGCGTTTTTGTGGCTCTTTTTATTTGTTTTTGTGACTGTGTGGAACCCGGTTCAGCTACTGATGGATTGATTGTGCGACTGCAGTACACTGTTTATTGCTTTCATTCTGTGGTTCGACGGTCTCGATAGATAGTAAAAACCATGTTAAATTGCTGTTTTAGGGGTTGTTTTTGAAAGTCTGGAACGGATTAATCCATTTTGCATGACTTTCTATGGGAAAGCGTGCCTTGGTTTAAGAACGCTTTGGTTTAAGAACGGACTTCCGGGACGGATTAAGTTTGAGAACCAAGGTACCACTGTATCGCCATTAGCACCTTCTGACAAGTGCTTCCAAGTATTGGCTGTCGCAAAGCACATTGTGCAAATCAGGGGTCTTTTTCAGCCGAGGGCCGCATTCCCTTCGGGGGCAGCTTTTCGGGGGCCACACGCCGGTTGTGGGCGGGGCTGGAGGCGGAAGTGGGTGGAGCAAGGGATGTTCATTTTGCAAGAGGCTGGTTTGTGCGTTCACTCACACACCCCTCTCTACTCAGGGAAGCAAGAGGCACAATCAGAGTTCAGGAACGCATCCCACCGGGGCAAAAGCACATTGCAATGCTTGGCCCAATTTGGCCCTGAGCCCCCCCCACTCCTACATTGAAGCCACAACGATACGACACGATGATACGATAATCTTTATTGTCATTGTCCCATACAGAACAACGTAATTGAAAAAATCTACACCAGACATTCAAAACCAACAAGTCTGCTATCCCAGCCTGGTTAGCCCCCTAAAAACTCTGATACCCCATTTTTAAATACAATATACTCCCCCAGAGATTACCTTACACTGCGTTTAAAACCAAAATCGCATTTGGATAGAAACTGTTTCTCAAGCGGCCAGTCCTGGTCTTTATAACCCTGTACCTTCTTCCAGAAGGCAGAAGCTGAAAGAGATCATTTTCGGGGTGGGCACTATCCTGCGCTATCTCTGCAGCTTTCTTGTGACACCTGGAAGCATAGATTTGATCCACGGTGGGAAGAGTGCACCCAATTATTCTCTCCGCAGTCTTTACAACCCTGGACAGCATTGTTTTTTCCCTGGCCCTGCAGCTCCCAAACCACACACACAGACCATAAGTTAATACACTCTCCACAGTACAATGGTAAAATGCCATCAACAGGTCCTTTGAGAGATTGTTTTTCCGGAGGATTCTCAGAAAATATAACCTCTGCTGTGCTCTCTTCATCAGGTCTTTGCTGTTTTCTCCCCAGGTTAGGTCATCTCTCAACTCCATTCACAGAAATTGAAACACCGAGACCCGTTCCACACACTTCCCCTCAATAATAAGTGGCTGAATATTCAATTTACATTTCCTAAAGTCCACAATAGAAGGGACGCGGGTGGCACTGTGGGTTAAACCACAGAGCCTGGGACTTGCCAATCAGAAGGTCGGCGGTTCGAATCCCCGCGATGGGGTGAGCTCCCGTTGCTCGGTCCCTGCTCCTGCCAACCTAGCAGTTCGAAAGCTTGTCAAAGTGCAAGTAGATAAAATAGGTACCGCTCCGGCGGGAAGGTAAACGGCATTTCCATGCGCTGCTTTGGTTTGCCAGAAGTGGCTTAGTCATGCTGGCCACATGACCCGGAAGCTGTACGCCGGCTCCCTCGGCCAAGAAAGCGAGATGAGCGCTGCAACCCCAGAGTTGACCATGACTGGACCTAATGGTCAGGGGTCTCTGTACCTTAAAGTCCACAATAATCACTTTTGTTTTCTTTAAGTTAAGGAGTGAGTTGTTTTTCCTGCACCACTCCCCCAACTGCTCAACTTCCTTCGTATCAGCTGCCTCCCCCTCTCCAGCCGTGATTAAACCAACCATCGTTGTATTATCTGCGACAGCTTGCTGCGGTGGAGGTTGCACGATAACGTTAGTCAGATCTCAAGGCGTCTTCTTCCAGTCCACCGTTCCTGGAAGTGCATTGTTCTTTCTGCGCTTTTGCACATTCCAGGCAACCTCTGCGTTTTTATCAGCGCAACCTTGGTGTTTCTGCAACTTTTTGAATCCTCGTCCCTGACCCTGTCGTGCCCCAGGACGCGTGTAAACACAAAGTGGGGGCCCTGCTGCCTCCCTTTCGTTGAAATGTGAACTTTGCTCCTTCAGGGGATATGCTTCATTCGAACCAGCCGCCCAGAGACTCCTGTCCTCTACTCTCAGGACGAAAAGTTCGGGATTGGCCATGCCAAGGTAAAGGGTGTGATTTGATTTTTCATTGGTTTCGTCGTCTGCATTTTGGGGGGAAGAGTCATTCCGAACAGGACCCTCGTCAGCTTTCGTGCCTCAATTTAAAAGCTGCTCTGCCCTAATAATAATAATAATAATAATAATAATAATAATAATAATAATTATTATTATTATTATTGGAAGTTTTTAATATTTAATGCTGTATTGTTTTTAACACTCGATTGGGAGCCACCCAGAATGTCTGGGGAAACTCAGCCAGATGGACGGGGCATTAATAATAATAATAATAATAATAATAATAATTTATACCCTGCCCATCTGGCTGCGTTTCCCCAGCCACTCTGGATGGCTTCCAACAGAGTATTAAAATACAATAGTCTATTAAACAGGGCTGCCTTCAGATGTCTTCTAAAAGTCTGGTAGTTGTTTATCTCTTTGACATCTGATAGGAGGGCGTTCCACAGGGCGGGCGCCACCACTGAGAAGGCCCTCTGCCTGGTTCTCTGTAGCTTTGCTTCTTGCAATGAGGGAACCGCCAGAAGGCCCTTGGAGCTGGACCTCAGCATCTGGGCAGAACGATGGGAGTGGAGACGCTCCTTCAGGTATACTGGACCGAGGCCGTTTAGGGCTTTAAAGGTCAGCACCAACAACCAACCATTTTGATTTTAAGCGCCAATGGTCTGGTTCAAGTGGAACTCATCCTTTTGCGCCGGTCCCGCTCACCCCACAATATTCCCCAGTGCCTAAAAAAAATTCAAACCCCTCTTCTCCGCACCGTTGTCTCATTCACACATTGACACCACAAAGCTGTGCCGGTCCAGAATCGTGGAATTGTAGAGTTGGAAGAGACCCAGGGGTCACCTATTCCCACCCCCTGCAAGGCGAACTGTGGATTTTAGAGGCAATATTGTTGCAGGTGGCATAGGACTTAATTGGTGGGGCATTGTCTCCCCATGTTCTAGGGCAGGGTTTCCCAAACTTGGGTCTCCAGCTGTTTTTGGACTACAACTCCCATCATCCCTAGCTAACAGGACCAGTGGTCAGGGATGATGGGAATTGTAGTCCAAAATGAGCTGGGGACCCAAGTTTGGAAAGCACTGTTCTTAGCACCAAGGCTGCAACAAATAGATCTTCTGAAGCCTAATAATAATAATACCGTATTTTTTGCTCTATTAGACGCATGGGACCATAAGATGCACCTAGTTTTTAGGGGAGGAAAACAAGAAATACGAAAGCAACGCAAAGCCTCCTGAGTGAAGAGGGAGCGCTCCTCCATCTTCGCTCAGGAGGCTTTGCGGGGCTATCCCTGAAGCCAGGAGAGCAAGCAGGATCGGTGCGCACCGATCCCTCTTGCTCTCCTCGCTTCAGCGAAAGCAAGCCTCCTGGCTTTGCCCCCCCCCTCCCGCAAGAGCCATGCACTCTTTAAAGGGAGCGCGAGAGGGAGCTGTTCTGGCTTCTGGCTTAGCCTCGCAGCCTTCATTCACTCCTTAAGACGCACACACATTTCCCCATACTTTTTAGGAGGGGAAAAGTGCGTCTTATAGAGTGAAAAATACGGTATTATTTTCCCCCAGCCACTCTGGGCGGCTTCCAACAAAGCATTAAAATACAGTGGTCTGTTAAACGTTAAAAGCTTCCCTATACAGAGCTGCCTTCAGATGTCTGAAGCCCAAAAGTGTCCATATGCCAGACCGAAAAGGGTGTGCAGGAATACTTGAATTACAGAGCCATGCATGTGTCAACCAGACTTCACCAGCCTTCTGCCTTCCAGATGTTTTGGACTTCAGCTCCCATCAGCCCTAGCTGGCATGACCAATAGCCAGGAATGATGGGAGTTGCAGTCCAAATACCTGCAGGGCTAAAGCTTAGCCATCTCTGTCTGGGGATATAATAGTTCTAGTTTGTTGGCTGACAAGTCATTTTCCATGTCCCTATAGGTTGTGCGTAAGAACGATGCGGACAAGGTGACTGTCATTGGGGCAGGAGTCACCCTCCACGAGGCCCTCACAGCTGCTGATGAACTGGCCAAGCAAGGTAATTGGAACAGTAGCGTCGGACGGGACCCCATGATTCACCTAGTCCAGGGGTGTCCAATCGGTCGACCGTGATCGACAGGATCCTTATTGCTTGTGTTGTCTATAAAAATGTCTCCGCTCCCCTCGGTCTTTCCCTGTGCTGTGTTTAGTGTTCCTTCCTTACTAATTTGCTTTAGCGCTGCGTTCGTCTGTTAGCGGTTGTGTTGATGGTGAGCGATTCACCGTATTTTTCGCTCCACAAGACGCACCTGACCACAAGACGCACCTAGTTTTTAGAGGGGGAATGCGAGGGGGGGGGGAATCATTTAAAGGGAACGCTGAGCAGAGCCTGTATGCATCCCAGGTTCTGCTCAGCGCTCCCTTTAAAGAACGCTTGCAGGCTTTTCCCCGAGGAGGGAGAAGGGCAGTGACGGGCCGCCCTCCTCCCTCCTCGGGGAAAAGCCCCCAAGAGCCGCACACACGCTCTGCCTGCTCTTTAAAGGGAGCGCTGAGCAGAGCCTCCCACCTGCATTCGCTCCATAAGACGTACACACATCCCGCCTGGAAGGCGAAAAATACGGTATTTCAATTCTGCACCCTTACTGTGTCAACAACTTTGACCTGCCCCCCCCTTCAAAAAGATCAACAATTTTGGTTTGCCACCCGTAAAGAAAGCTCAACAACTCTGATCTCCCCCCTCAAAAAAATTGGGTAGATCACTGCCAGGTTTTTTTCTGGGAGTAGATCGCAGTCTCTTGGGAGCCAGTGTGGTGTAGTGGTTAAGAGAGGTAGACTCGTAATCTGGTGAACTGGGTTTCGCGTCTCCACTCCTCCACATGCAGCTGCTGGGTGACCTTGGGCCAGTCACACTTCTCTGAAGTCTCTCAGCCCCACTCACCTCACAGAGTGTTTGTTGTGGGGGAGGAAGGGAAAGGAAAATGTTGGCCGCTTTGAGACTCCTTAAGGGAGTGAAAAGCAGGATATCAAATCCAAACTCTTCTTCTTCTTGGGAGATGGACGTCCCGGATCTAGTCCAAGCCACCTGCGATGCAGGAATAACGGACGGCTGCAGGTCTCGCCGGAGGTTTGGGCTGTTGATGGCAGCTCTCCTTTCCGCCCTGCCCCAAATGCTCCTTCCCACAAGCCTTTTGCTTCCTCTTAGGCACCCACATCCGGGTCATCGACCCCTTTACAATCAAGCCCTTGGATGCTGCAACCATCATCTCCAATGCCAGAGCCACCGGAGGCCGAATCATCACCGTGGAGGACCACTACAAGGAAGGTAAGCGGGTTGCGGCTGTGGAGCAAGGCACCTGGGAACGGCACATTTCCCATCAATTTCTGGCCCGTTTCTTGACTTCTCCCTGCTGCCCTCCTTCGACGGTTGCACGCTCTGGATAGCGATTCCTCCCTCCCTCCCTCTCTCTCTTTCTTTCTTTTTTTTAATTTTTTGATTTTTAAAATAAATTTTATTAGTAATCACACAACAACAACAACACGGAAGATATCAAAAAATAGCAATACACAACACACAAAAATCAACATTCGAAAACTAAAAAAAACAACAAACAAAAACCAACAAACAAACCCATATCTTACAAGTTAATATTATAAACACTAGAACAACAACAACAAGAGATTGACTTCCACCAATCCCACAGCACCTCCTTTATCTCTCGTTGTGTCTTCCTGTTTTCCTGTTTTCTTTATCACCTCTATCCTAACATCTAGATATAAATCCTTCTTTCATATCCTTTCACTTCACAAGGTTATTCCAGACTCAGCCAGATTTCTGCCCTCGAACCTTGGCTTTTGAGGTATTCATTTAGGCACTCCCATTCTTTTTTTACTTCACTTTTTGGTTTTTGTCTTATTATATCTGTCAATTTGGCTAATTCTAAGTATTCTGAGAGCTTACATAGCCACTCTCCCCTAGTGGGAAACTGATTCCCTTTCCAGTACTTAGCCACCAGGATTCTTGCTGCAGACCTTGCGTATAAGAAAAAATTAGTTTTGTCTTTTGGAATATTGTCATTTAAAATTCCTAAAAGGAATGCCTCTGGCCTTTTACTATATGATATTCTTAATATTTCCTTTATTTCTTCGTGGATCATGCTCCAAAATTCTCCCTCTCTCTTTCTAGGAGGTCTTGGCGAGGCTGTGGCGGCGGCTGTCTCCGGAGAACCTGGCATCTTGGTCCAGAGCCTGGCGGTGTCGGCCGTGCCGCGCAGCGGGAAGCCCAGCGAGCTCCTGGATGCGTTTGGGATCAGCGCCAAGCATATTGTGACCGCCGTGAAGAGCACTTTTGCCAACTGATTCCCCTTGTCTGCCTTGAGGCTGGTGGGGAGGGCGGTGGAGTTTGGAGAGAGGTTGTTTCTGAAGAGCCAAAAGTGTCTCCCCAAACACACCCTTGTCTGACTTCTCCGTCCCAGTTTTGACAGACATGCTGCTAGCATTTCCTTTTGACCTTGTGCTGAGTGCGAATGGAGCTTTTAACTGACCAAATGACCGTCCTGTCCCTGTTTCCCCTCCATCCCCAAGCCATTCTATTTGCTCTCAAACTTCTCTAGGCCCAAAAAGTGTCCCGGTTGTCCTATTGGAACAATAAATAGTGCTTGTCTTAACTTGAACCTTTTTACCCTTGTGCCTGACGCCTAACTTCTGTGGCTGTTGTTTTCTCGAGCCTGACATTCCATGGGCAGCTTGGGTAGAGATTCCTACCAGGAAAGGTTACTGACACATGAGTAAATGTTGACTGCGGAAACGCATATAGCTCTGACAAAAAGATCCGTTTATGAATTCTGTTGTCTTAGTCGGAAACGGAAAGGGCCGTTTCCCTGTTTTTCCTTGTACTGTAACTGCTATCCACAAACAGTGTTCACCCAGCGAGTCAATAAAAAACAAAAGTGCTCACCTGTTGGCTTCGTGAAGTGTTTGGTATCTCTGCAGTAAGGGCCAGCTCTGAGGGATTTCTTCAATAAAACACAGCACTGTGACATTTAAGAACGCATCCCTTGGCTGCAAAATGGAGTCCACAGGCTTAAACTTCTAGAGACATTCCCTTGCCGTAGCTTTTATGCATACGTAGAAATTAAGTCACATAACAGAGTTAAAGGTAAAAGGTAAAGGTACCCCTGCCCGTACGGGCCAGTCTTGACAGACTCTAGGGTTGTGCGCCCATCTCACTCTATAGGCCGGGGGCCAGCACTGTCCGAAGACACTTCCGGGTCACGTGGCCAGACGTGACATCGCTGCTCTGGCGAGTCAGAGCCGCACACGGAAACACCGTTTACCTTCCCGCTTGTAAGCGGTCCCTATTTATCTACTTGCACCCGGGGGTGCTTTCGAACTGCTAGGTTGGCAGGCGCTGGGACCGAACAACGGGAGCGCACCCCGCCGCGGGGATTCGAATCGCCGACCTTTCGATCGGCAAGCCCTAGGTGCTGAAGCTTTTACCCACAACGCCACCCGCGTCCCAATAACTGAGTTACCATCTGGTAACTAACCAGCGGCCTCATCAGGCAAAGCAAAAATAACATCAGATGCAAGAACAAGGCTATACATTCATCTGTTGGTGTCAGCAAATTCCAAGATGGCTCCCTTCCCAAGCTGACGATTCCCACCTACAGCCCGTGCAGAAACCACTGTTCTAAGAAAAAACGGCTCCTTTCCCCTTATGGGGTACCCAAGAGCCCGTACGTGGGTTTCCTAATGGTAGGAGAAAATAACAGAGGCCAACCAGAGTATATTGAGAAGCAAAGCAGCTAGTAAGCCTGATCTTTATTGATCTGTTGCAACAGGGTTCTCACTCACCACACGCAGGAGAGAGGAGAACCCTGAAGAATGGTGCACAAGCCCTTATACAGACTTTTGAAATTGCCCACTCTGTAGCTCAAGACCACCCCCCAAAACATCATACATACATCACTGAAGGAGGCGAGTCTACAGCAGAAATCCTGCCTGCCAGGATACCTGATAATGGTCACTGATTGCATAACCTGGGCAGCCCGGCCATTCTTTTGTGACGGTTAATACTTTAGTTCCTGAATCCAGGTCACAGGCTCGCCCTATTCATGCACAAATATGCCCTTAAGACAGGATTTGTAAGCAAAAAGACAAAGGGAAGGCTTTTCCCATTTTCTCCCTCCTTTCAGAGAAATGTATTGAGGTCGATTTGGGAGAGTCAGGATTTCTGTCCTGTACTATAATTTCAGGCACGTGGTTTGTATACGTGTGTTTGCATTGTACATTTATGAACATTTATATTTGGGACCTTAGAATTCTTAGAACACCACCTTCTTGACCGTTGAAGGGACCGTTGAAGGTGGCGCTGTGGGTTAAACCACAGAGCCTAGGACTTGCCGATCAGAAGGTCGGCGGTTTGAATCCCCGCGGCGGGGTGAGCTCCCATTGCTCGGTCCCTGCTCCTGCCAACCTAGAGTTTGAAAGCATGCTAGTACAAATAGATTAATAGGTACCACTCCGTCGGGAAGGTAAACGGTGTTTCCGTGCGCTGCTCTGGTTCACCAGAAGCGGCTTAGTCATGCTGGCCACATGACCCGGAAGCTGTACGCCGGCTCCCTCGGCCAATAAAGCGAGATGAGAGCCACAACCCCAGAATCGGCCACGACTGGACCTAATGCTCAGGGGTCCCTTTACCTTTACTATTTCCAGTACGTGGTTTATATACTTATTTATGTGTTTGCCTTGTGCATTTATGAACATTTATATTTAGGACCTTAGAATTCTTAGAACACCACCTTCTTGACCGTTGAACCCACTGTTGATCTTGTCAGCTCAATCTGCTGGAGCTGTCTTTGCATGCAGGGGAAATCCCTAAATTACTGAGGGTTTGAAACCAATTGGCTTCCCTCTCCTGGTTTTGCTGGCCAGTCAAAGCCATTTCCTGGGTTGTGGCTGTTGCATGCTGACGACAACTAGGACAAACAGGTGGGAGCTGAGTGCTGGGTGGGGACCAAAGGTGGGCAACTACCCCAGAAGGGGCATGGCTACCCTTCCCCTAACACCCCATAACTAACCCGATAAAAGCTGTTTTGGCTGGCTGGACAGCAGTCATAGCAAAGACAGCAAATGCAGGGATCTGGGCCCAGAGCAAAAGGACAAGTTTAATCATTTAAAATGGTGACGAGAGAGTTAGCGCTCTGTGTAGTGGAACAGGGGAATCTGGCCTGCAGGGGTAACCTTCGTTTGCGTGGAGGAGTTTGATGTGATTTCTTTCTTAACAGATTGGCTCAACTCTTTAAGCATGGACATTAAGTAGAACGACTTCCCTGGAGATATAATTAAGAAGTTTGAAAGATTTAATATCAAAGACTAAACATATAGAGCGTTTGCACAATTCACGCGCACTTAAATATAATAACTCACAAACTGAGGTTTTCCAGGATCTTAAGCCCTGAGCTCATTCTTGGATCAGCAAGTCGTGGCAGAAGGAAGAAGTATTACGCTCAAAGGCAGGGTATGAATATCTCTGTCGTCATGCTCTGATCGGTCAATGTGACTGGACTTGCAGTGACTAAAACAGTGTTTCCCAACCTTTTTTGGGCAAAGGCGCACTTCTTTCATGAAAAAAATCTCGAGGCACACCACCATTAGAAAATGTTAAAAAATTTAACTCTGTGCCTATATTGACTATATAAAAAGTACAGTGGTGCCTCGCAAGACGAAATTAATTCGTTCCGCAAGTCTCTTCGTCTTGCGAGTTTTTCGTCTTGCGATGCACGGTTTCCCATAGGAATGCATTGAAAATCAATTAATGCGTTCCTAGGGAAACCGCCTTCAGACCAGGTCCGGGGACAGTCTGTCCCCCGACCTCTTCTGAAGGCTGGGGGGGGGGGGACAAGGGCTTTTCTTCCCACTGCCAGCCTTCAGAAGGCTGTTCTGAAGGCTGGCGGTGGGAAGAAAAGCCCTTCTTCCCACCTCCCGCCCCGCAAGCTCCGGGGACAGGAGGGCTTTGCTGCCGACCGCCAGCATTTTAAAAGCCCCTGCTGTCCCGGGGCGATTTTAAAATGCTGGCGGGCGGGAGCGAAGTCTCCGCTGCCCCGAGGAGATTTTAAAATGCTGGGGGTCGGCAGCGAACGCTTCGCTCCCGCCCGCCAGCATTTTAAGATCGCCCGGGGCAGCGGAGAAGTCTCCGCTGTCCCGGGAAGGCAGGCGGGGGGAGCAAAGACTTTTGCCCCCGCCTGCCTTCAGAAGAGGTCCAGGACCTCGTTCCGATGCCCGGCGGCGGGGTGCGAGGTTCCCGCCCCACCGCCCGGCATCGGGGCATCGTTCCGATGCCCGGCGGCGGGGGGAGAGGTTCCCGCCCCACCGCCCGGCATCGGGGCATCGTTCCGATGCCCGGCGGCGGGGTGCGAGGTTCCCGCCCCCCCGCCCCGCTTCGGAGCAGCGTTCCGAAGCGGGGCGGCTGGGGCAGGTGTTCCCGCCCCCCGCCCCGCTTCGGAGCACCGGGAGAAGCGATCTCCCCGCAGCCCCTTGCTTCAAAAGAGGTCCGGGGGCAGCGGGGAAGAAGCGCTGCGCTTCCCGCTGCCCCCGGACCTCTTTTGAAGCAAGGGGCTGCGGGGAGATCGCTTCTCCCCGCAAAGCCTTGCTTCAAAAGAGGTCCGGGGGCAGCGCGAAGCGCTTCCCGCTGTCCCCGGACCTCTTTTGAAGCAAGGGGCGGTGGGGAGAAGCGATCTCGGGCGCCGCGGCGTGCAGGCGCACTGCTCGCTCCTCTTTCCGCGCAGGTGCCTTCTCTCGCTCTTTCGCCTCCTTTTCTTTCTCTCTCGATGGTCCGCCTACAAAGGAGCGAGGGAGGCGCCCGCCATGTTTGGATTTGCATCCAGCAGGAGATGCCGCCGCCGCCCCGCCTCTCCCGCCTCCCTCCCACGGCACACCAGGCAAGGTCTCACGGCACACCAGTGTGCCGCGGAACACCGGTTGGGAAACACTGGACTAAAAGACCTAATTGCTGGAATCTTTCTAGATCAGTTGGCAGAGACTCTTAATCTCTGGGTGGCAGGTCCGAGCCCCATGATGGGCAAAGGATTTCTGCCTTGCAGGGGGTTGGAATAGGAAACCCTTGTGTTCCTTTCAAGCCTACATTCTATGACTGTGGATGTTGGAAGATTCAAGACAGAGAAAAGAAAATGCCACCCCTCTAGTCAGGATTCAAGCTTCATCATGGGACTGAAACTGCCTTGGTCGCACTGGTCGATGATCTCCGGCGGGCTAGGGACAAAGGTGAGAGCTGTTTCCTAGTTCTGCTGGATCTCTCAGTGGATTTTGACACCATCGACCATAACATCCTTCTGGACCCTCTAGAGGGGCTGGGAACTGGGGGCACTGTTATACAGTGGTTCCACTCCTTCCTCCTGGGCCATGTTCAGAAAGTGGTAGTGGGGGATGAGTGTTCAGACCCCTGGGCTCTCACTTGTGGGGTGCCTCAGGGCTCCGTCCTCTCCCCCATGCTTTTCAACATTTACATGCAGCCGCTAGGAGAGATCATCAGGGGGTTTGGGCTGGGTGTTCATCAGTATGCGGATGATACCCAGCTCTACCTCTCTTTTAAATCAGAACCAGTGAAGGCGGTGAAGGTCCTGTGTGAGTGTCTGGAGGTGGTTGGGGGATGGATGGCGGCTAACAGATTGAGGTTGAATCCTGACAAGACAGAAGTACTGTTCTTGGAGGATGGGGTGGGCTGGTGTGGGGGACTCCCTGGTCCTGAATGGGGCATCTGTGCCCCTGAAGAACCAGGTGCGCAGCCTGGGAGTCATTCTGGACTCGCAGCTGTCCATGGAAGTGCAGGTCAGTTCTGAGTCCAGGGCAGCTGTCTACCAACTCCACCTGGTACGCAGGCTGAGACCCTACTTGCTCGCAAACTGTCTCGCCAGAGTGGTGCATACTCTGGTTATCTCCTGCTTGGACTACTGCAATGTGCTCTACGTGGGGCTACCTTTGAAGATGACCTGGAAACTAATCCAGAATGCGGCACCTAGACTGGTGACTGGGAGTGGCCGCCAAGATCACATAACACCAGTCTTGAAAGACCTACACTGGCTCCCAGTACGTTTCCGAGCACAATTCAAAGTGTTGGTGCTGACCTTGAAAGCCCTAAACGGCCTCAGTCCAGTATATCTGAAGGAGTGTCTCCACCCCCATCGTTCAGCCCGGACACTGAGGTTCAACGCCGAGGGTCTTCTGGCGGTTCCCTCACTGCAAGAAGCCAAGTTACAGGGAACCAGGCAGAGGGCCTTCTTGGTGGTGGTGCCTGCCCTGTGTAACGCCCTCCTATCAGATGTCAAGGAAATAAACAACTATCTGACTTTTAGGAGACATCTGAAGGCAGCCCTGTTTAGGGAAGCTTTTAATGTTTAATAGACTATTGTATTTTAATACTTTGTTGGAAGCCGCCCAGAGTGGCTGGGGAAACCCAGCCAGATGGGTGGGGTATAAAAAATTATTATTATTATTAGACAAATTTATGGTGGAAAAGACTATCCAATGCTCATGGCCAGAATTGCTGTGCGCTACCTGGGACGTGGGTGGCGCTGTGGGTAAAACCTCAGTACCTAGGACTTGCCGATCGCAAAGTCGGCAGTTCGAATCCCCGCGGCGGGGTGCGCTCCCGTTGTTCGGTCCCAGCGCCTGCCAACCTAGCAGTTCGAAAGCACCCTCGGGTGCAAGTAGATAAATAGGGACCGCTTACCAGCGGGAAGGTAAACGGTGTTCCATGTGCTGTGCTGGCTCGCCAGATGCAGCTTGTCATGCTGGCCACGTGACCCGGAAGTTTCTCCGGACAGCGCTGGCTCCCGGCCTATAGAGTGAGATGAGCGCACAACCCTAGAGTCTGTCAAGACTGGCCCGGACGGGCAGGGGTACCTTTACCTTTACCTGCAGTAAAGGAGGCAGTCTTCATCTGAATGCCAGTTGCTGAAAACCACAGGAGGGGAGAGGGCTGTTGCACCCAGTCCTGTTTTAATGTACAGTGGTACCTCAGGTTACAGACAATTCAGGTTACAGACTCCACTAACCCAGAAACAGTGCTTCAGGTTAAGAACTTTGCTTCAGGATAAGAACAGAAATCGTGCCGGTGGCGTGGCGGCAGCAGGAGGCCCCATTAGCTAAAGTGGTGCTTCAGGTTAAGAACAGTTTCAGGTTAAGAACGGACCTCCGGAAGGAATTAAGTACTTAACCCACGGTACCACTGTATTTTAAATCTCTTGTTGGAAGCCGCCCAGAGTGGCTGGGGAAACCCAGCCTGATGGGTGATTAAGGAAGGAAGGAAGGAAGGAAGGAAGGAAGGAAGGAAGGAATAACAACAACAACAACAATGTATTTTGTACTTTTATGGTGCGTACTATCCTGAGACCTATGGACGAAGGGCGGGATACTACAACTACTACTACTACTTTGTTGTTGTTGTTTAGTCGTTTAGTCATGTCTGACTCTTCGTGACCCCCTGGACCAGAGCACGCCAGGCCCTCCTGTCTTCCACTGCCTCCTGCAGTTTGGTCAGACTCATGCTGGTAGCTTCGAGAACACTGTCCCACCATCTCATCCTCTGTCATCCCCTTCTCCTTGCTCCCTCCATCTTTCCCAACATCAGGGTCTTTTCCAGGGAGTCTTCTTTTCTCATGAGGTGGCCAAAGTCTTGGAGCCTCAGCTTCAGGATCTGTCCTTCCAGTGAGCACTCAGGACTGATTTCCTTCAGAATGGAGAGGTTTGATCTTCTTGCAGTCCATGGGACTCTCAAGAGTCTCCTCCAGCACCAGAATTCAAAAGCATCCATTCTTGGGCGATCAGCCTTCTTTATGGTCCAGCTCTCACTTCCATACATCACTACTGGGAAAACCATAGCTTTAACTATACGGACTACTACTACTACTAATACAGAACATTAGCGTGGGAAGGGACCCTGAGGGTCATCCAGTCCAACCCGCTGCAATGCGGGAGTACCAGATCAGCATGAGCCAGGCAGGAACCCCTGAACTTGCTGTCTCGGTTGGGCAGGATGCTGCCGGAAGGCAACTTTGCAAGAATCCTGGCTAAATTAATAATAATTTAAGTAGGAGTCAGGCAGGAAGTCCTGCCTTCGCTGCTCTCCATTGACCTCACTTCCGCCCTTGGGAGAAGAGGGCGGAAGTGGCTTCACGCGCTGCCAGGAAGTCCCGCCCCCGGAAGCGGATGGCCGCTCTGGCCCGGGGCGCTCGATGGTGCGCGGCCCCTCCCGCTTCCTGTTGTTCCCGGACTCTCTTCCGGGTTGGGGGTCCGGAGGTTTGGCCGGAGCTGCGCCCGGTGAGTGGAGGCACCCCTGGAGGGAGAGGGAAGAGGGCCGCCCGGGGAGGGGGCGAGGGAGGCCTTCCCTGGCCGGGAGAGGCAGGATCCTGACCCTGCACACGGGTTCTGCGCTTGCGGGTCGCCTTGCACGTCGGAATGCGCCCCAGGGAAACTCGCAGGCAGGCGGGCGAGGAGTAGGAGGAGAAGACCCAGTTCATTGCGGCGCCTGGATCTCTCCCAGGAACCCGGGAATCTGCCTGCCCCAGAGTCAGGCCGTCCAGCTCAGGGCTGCCCACACGGGCTGGCAGCAGCCGGGGACATAATAATAATAATAATAATAATAATAATAATAATAATAATAATAATAATAATAATAATATTTATTTACGGTATACCCTGCCCTCCCCAGCCAAGACTGGGCTCAGGGCGGTCAACACCAAGGATAAAAACAATTGATTAAAATACAACATTAAAATGCAGCCTCATTTCAGTAGAAACTCAAATCAATTTTTTTTGGGGGGGATGAACACTTCAAGTCTTCAGGGGTTCAGGCTGCCCTGGTGCTGCAGCCAAAGGTCACAGGTGCCAAGGGGGTGTTCTGCCACTGGGCTGCGGCCCTTCCAGGTGGCACGCATCCATCTCCGTTTCTGTACTCGCGACAGCCCTGCGAGGGAGGCGAGGCGGGGACTGGCCCAGGGTGGCACCCGGTGAGCTTCAGGATTCGAACCCTGGTCTCTGCCAGGTCCTAGTCTGGCATAGTCTGAACCTCCGCACCACTGACTCCTCAGAGCCTTGTTGGGGCCAGGGGACCGGAAGATTCATTCTCATGTTTTGCTTGTTTATCCAGTAATAACAACCCTAAAACCACGAAGAATAATAATAAATAATAATAAAATTTTATTTATATCCTGCCCTATTCAGACGAAGCCGGGCTCAGAGCAGCTAACAACAATAAAAGTGACACAGTTTACATAAAATCACAATCAATTAATTGAAATGCATTCTAAAATCAATTCAAAATCAAATTAATGGCAACCATTGGGCTAGATTATAATCTCCACAGTACTGATGATGGAGTGCGCATGTCGGAGTGGTGGTGGTCCGTGGGTGTTTATTTGATTAAGGATTACGATTCCGCCCCCCCCCCGGCAAATCTCCTGCGCCTTTAGCCCAGGGCTGCCACCTTTTCAGCCTGCCACTAGCTCAGGGGTCTGCAACCTTTAAGACAAAAAGAGCCACTTGGACCCATTTCCGAAGAAAAAAAACCTGGGAGCCGCAAAACTCGTCATTATAAAAATAATGTCACTTTTTTGTGTGTCACTTTTTTATTATTTCTTTGTTTGACCCCTCAGAATTACTCCTCCTCATAGAAATAAACGTTAAATTAACAAGTTACCTTTTTGTGTGTGTGTGTTCTTCACTCCCCTTCAAAACAGTGACCAGCGTACATGCCCCTTACAATGTAGCGGGCGGGAAGGTGACGTCGGGACGGTGCGTGACTAACGCACGCACCGCCCCATGCGACGTCACAGCCAGTACAGCACCCGCCACAGTGGGGAGTGTCGGGGCGCACAATGCACCTCCTCCCCTCGCTAGTATCCGCCCCGGAGCCGCAGCAAAGGTGTAAAAGAGCCAAATGCGGCTCCGGAGCCGCGGGTTGCAGACCCCTGCACTAGCTGATATGGCGACGCCAGTAGCCAATTATCTTTCCATGTCATGGAAAAGCTTCGCCTGCCAACCCTTATTTATCATCCTGCTGAATAAAACACAAGAGCAGACCAGGCTGGTGCTGTTAGGGTGAGTTGGCAACCCTACTTTAACAGCTGCATGACTGGCAGAAAACTGGCAGGTATGGATTTCTTCCCATGACTGCGTTTCTTAGAAGATGGATCTTCAGAATATTTCTCCCTGTATCATTTCTGCCTGTCATGGGAGCTGTCAGTGGAGACTGACGTGGATTCCCTCTCTCTGCAGCTGAGGACAGAGCTGCAGCAAGCTCTCACTTTTCTGGCTTGCGGGTTGTCGATGTGGGTGGCACAGAAAAATGTGTTAGAGACAGTGGTTTTCATATAGAATAAATAGGTAAAGGGTAAAGGGACCCCTGACCATTAGGTCCAGTCGTGGCCGACTCTGGGGTTGCGGCGCTCATCTCGCTTTATTGGCCGAGGGAGCCGGCGTACAGCTTCCGGGTCATGTGGCCAGCATGACTAAGCTGCTTCTGGCGAACCAGAGCAGCGCACGGAAATGCCGTTTACCTTCCCGCCAGAGCGGTACCTATTTATCTACTTGCACTTTGACATGCTTTCGAACTGCTAGGTTGGCAGGAGCAGGGATCGAGGAATGGGAGCTCACCCGTCACGGAGATTCGAACCGCCGACCTTCTGATCAGCAAGCCGTAGGCTCTGTGGTTTAACCCACAGCGCCACTTGCATCCCTATAGAATAAATAAAAGTGCTTTAATGGTAACCCAGGGCCCTTTTAGTGAATTGTCACATGCTGTCTTCTCACCTGACTAGCTTCTGTCTTTTTACGGGAAGTTTGGTCTTTTCAGTACTGAAGATCAAACACCAGCAGAAAGGAATATTGCAAGGGTCAGTATCTCCTACTAGGCTAATTTTTATTTATTTATTGTGTTTAGGTTTATAAAGCGCTACTGAAACTTGATGATGTCTGAAGATGAAGAAAAGCTTAACTTGCGTCGCCTTGAGCCAGCCATCCAGAAGTTCATTAAAGTTGCCATTCCAACAGATCTGGAGAGGTTAAGAAAGCATCAGATAAATATTGAGAAGGTTTACTTTTTTCCCCTGAATATTAAGTTGATATTGTATAATTTTACTGACATTAGCGCAGCTTAGGCAAAGCTGAGATGCTTTGATTGGAACTAAAGTTGGGCAAGTGTATTAGCTCTGTTGCACGACAATTTCCGCACCCCTCCTCAAAAAACCCCCTCCACCTTCAATGGTTGTTAAAAGTCCATTCCTTTTCTTTACAATGGGGCCTTAAAAAGGTAAAGGGACCCCTGACCATTAGGTCTAGTCGTGGCCGACTCTGGGGTTGCGGTGCTCATCTCACTTTACTGGCCAAGGGAGCTGGCGTACAGCTTCCAGGTCATGTGGCCAGCATGACCAAGCCGCTTCTGGCGAACCAGAGCAGCGCACGGAAACGCTGTTTACCTTCCCGCCGGAGCGGTACCTATTTATCTATTTGCACTTTGACGTGATTTCGAACTGCTAGGTGGGCAGGAGCAGGGACCGAGCAACGGGAGCTTACCCCATCCTGGGGATTCGAACCGCCGACCTTCTGATCGGCAAGCCCTAGGCTCTGTGGTTTAACCCACAGCGCCACCTGCGTCCCAATTGGGGCCTTACTATTATTTAAAATGAGGCAGCCGAGGCAGCTGGGGGTGCTCCCATTTGCTGCAGAACAGCTGAATGGCTGGTCATTGTTAGGGGATGTTGGGAGTGTAGAGGTCTGCCTCCATTGGCCAATATTTTGTTTGATCTTAAATGCCTGCTCTGGGTACCCATTCAAGAGTCCTGCTGTAAACAGAGAAAAGAGGCTGTCTAAAGGTTTGGATTGAGAGTTGCCTTTCAGTCTGTGCACCTGCTGAGATAATGATGATGATAATAATAATAATAATAATAATAATAATAATAATAATTATTTTATTTATGCCCCGCCCTCCCCAGCCAAGACTGGGCTCAGGGCAGCTGACACCAAGTATAAAACAGTTGATTAAAATACAACTTAAAAACAAGATTAAAGTACAACATTAAAATGCAGCCTCATTTCAGTTGAAACTCAAATCAAAAACTTTTGGGGGATCAAAACGTCAAATCTTCAATGTCAAATGAGGGGACAAGTTGGTTGCAATGATTTGCAGATGCAACTGGGGTCAAAATTATCCCCCAATAAGTAAATATTGCTTTCCATGAACTCTGCAGGTAGTTATGACCTCCCTTGGCTGGGTTGCAAGAGTGATTCTAAGTGGAAAATATCCTTTATAAATATCAGGTTTATAGAGAGGGCTTGCAAGCCAGTGGGGGCTTCCATTTGCCCTGGCACAATAAGGAAGTGAGTAATTTGTTGATTTTGAGGGTTTTTCGCCTTCAGTGCTCTTTTCTCGCAAGAAAGGGAAACAGGAGGCTCTGGGCTAAGTATCTGTAGACATGAAAACAGTAAAAACCGTAAAAAGGCAAATGGCATTTTGCAAGGTTTCTCCCCCCCCCATTTTTTTTATTGAATTTCCACATTTATCACAGAATGATGTAACAAAGAAGCACAAAACACACAACAAAAACACACACACTACAATACAATAACATTGAACACAAAAAGAAATTATTTCTTCTGATACCTAATTCTCGTAACATTGATAACTGACGTCCTTGAATCCCCTCTAACTGAATTTCATTATGTCACTTTTATAGCAGTTCTCCAAGTTCATATTTCTAATAATATTAACTCCTTTCATTTACTAATCTCTTCGGTGTTTTGCAAGGTTTCTTTGAGCCCTAATACTTTATGTGTTCCCAGCTCTCGTCAGTATCTCTCTCCTCTTTCTCCATCTTCTGCAGAGGGGTAAAGAGTGCCTACATAGCAGGGGACTCTTTCCCTGCAATGCTCATGTATTTCTCATCTAGCTTATCTACCGGCAGCTAGACTGGGGGCGGCAGCCAAGACCACGTAACCCCGGACCTGAAAGACCTACATTGGCTCCCAGTACGTTTCCGAGCACAATTCAAAGTGTTGGTGCTGACCTTGAAAGCCCTAAACGGCCTTGGTCTGGTATACCTGAAGGAGCGTCTCCACCCCCATCATTCTGCCTGGACGCTGAGGTCCAGCGCCGAGGGCCTTCTGGCGGTTCCCTCATTGCGAGAAGCCAAGTTACAGGGAACCAGGCAGAGGGCCTTCTCGGTGGTGGGGCCCGCCCTGTGGAACGCCCTCCCATCAGATGACAAAGAGAAGAACAACTACCAGACTTTTAGAAGACATCTGAAGGCAGCCCTCTTTAGGGAAGCTTTTAATGTTTAACAGACTACTGTATTTTAATACTTTGTTGGAAGTTGCCCAGAGTGGCTGGGGAATCCGGGGCGGGGGGGGGGAGCGGTCTTGTCATCTGGGCAGCCCAGGACTTCCAGACACACTGCCCAGGCTTAAATGCCAAGGAGGTCACACCCCTGGAGGCACAGTCCATTGTCTCTCGAGACAGACAGGTGCCAGCAACAACCCCACCTTTGGGCGCAAGACAGAAGTACTATTCTTGGGGGAAAGAAACAACTACCTGACATTTGGAAAACATCTGAAGGCAGTCCTGTTTAGGGAAGTTTTTAATGTGTGACATTTTGATGTATTTTTAATTTTTGTTGGAAGCCGCCCAGAGTGGCTGGGGAAACCCAGCCAGATGGGCAGGGTACAAATAATAAATTATTATTATATTATTATTATTATTATTATTCATCAGATTGTGGATGGGGACTCAAAGCACCAGATGTTGGTTCAAACTTTGTCACAATTGAAGAGTCCCTGGGACAAGGAGTTGTGAATGTCTTGCCTAATGGCTTTTGTGACATTCCTCAGCGTTGTTGGGTAACACAGGGCTCTCTTTGTTGATGGAGGCTTAAGCTAGAATCAGAGAGCAAAGTTTGATGCCATTGAGAGAGTGAGTCTGTCGCTTGGAATCATGTGTGCACATAGCTTATCTTATCCTTTCGTGCCAGCAGGCACTGGAATAGCCTGCGCCCCATACCCCACCATCTCCTCTGCCTTAAGACAGCACAGGGAATGGTAAATGGTGGTTCTCTTTGTCCTTCCTTTCTCTGTAAACCTATAAAAACACAGATTTTCTCTCTCCCTCTCTCCTTGCCTTTAGTATCAGAGATGCAGACTGTGGGACAGGTTACATGAAGAGCACATCAATGCCGGCCGTACAGTTCAAGTAAGTAGTTAGAAAAGTGCATTCCAGTGTTTATTGTGATTATTGCTGGTTTTCCCCAGTAAATAGCAGAAGCAAAAAATGCAAAGATTTCCCCTTTCTCCTCGTAGGGCACTGTAGCTAACCTAAAGCCTATCCAAGCTTTCCTCCTCCTTCCACTATCCAACCTGTGTTGAATCTTACATTTGTTTGCTCCTTGGGGCAGGGACCTTTCCCCTTGCCTGCAACGATCCTATAACAACACACAACAGAGGTGTGCCGTTCACTCAGTAATGATACAACAACTGCAAATGGCTTCATTGTCAGCAACTGAAAATGCGATGAGATGTGAAATAAGCAAGCCGTTTTGGACTGTAATGTCAAGCATAAATAGCTTACTGTTCTTAACTTGTATGTGCAATTGCTTTAATAGTTTTTAATTAGGTGTAGCTGTTTTATACATGTTTTTGTTGTCAATTGCTTTGGCTGGCGATGCCTCAGGGGAAGCGATTCATAAATGAAATAAATAATAAAAAAAATATTTATATCCTGTTTTTTCTAAACCAAAGAATGCACTGAAAATACAGAAAGGGAGGAGATGGTAGTATAGGTGGCAAGATTAGCCCAAGATGTAGTCTCACAGAAAATAAACGGCATTCTCTATGCAACCTTTAAAAGGTAAAGGGACCCCTGACTCTCTCACTTTTCTGGCTTGTGGGTTGTTGATGTGGTTGGCACAGAAAAATGTGTTAGAGACAGTGGTTTTCATATAGAATAAATAGGTAAAGGGTAAAGGGACCCCTGACCATTAAGTCCAGTCGTGACTGACTCTGGGGTTGTGGCACTCATCTCGCTTTACTGGCCGAGGGAGCCGGCGTACATCTTCCGGGTCATGTGGCCAGAATGACTAAGCCGCTTCTGGCGAACCAGAGCAGCGCATGGAAACACCGTTTACCTTCCCGCTGGAGCAGTACCTATTTATCTACTTGCACTTTGACCTGCTTTTGAACCTGCTTTTGAACTGCTAGGTTGGCAGGAGCAGGGACCGAGCAACGGGAGCTCACCCCGTCGTGGGGATTCGAACCGCCGACCTTCTGATCGGCAAGTCCTAGGCTCTGTGGTTTAACCCACAGCGCCACCCGCGTCCTGGGAGGGAGTGAAGGAATATATGAAAAAATAGGGTTCCGGGACTGGAATATTAATAAATAACGTGTAAAACGTGCAGGGGTAAGCAAGGAAATAAGAAAAGAATCAGCTGAGCAATGATTAAATTATAACAACACAACGAGACGGAAGAAGAAGAGGAAAAAAAGAGAGATCACACATGGGTGAAGGAACGGGGGTATAGGAGAATTTGAAATATTATTTATAATATAAAAGCTTTAATTTAAAATTTCTAACTGCGTTGTATTTGTATACAGCAAAGAGAAGTTTAGAGTAATTCGGTACATTTTAATTTAGTTAATTATGTAATAGGTTTATGTTAGAAAATTAATATGGATGTTGAATTTGATGTTTGTAATTTTTCTTTTTTGGGTTTTGGAAATAAAAAATTAAAACAACAACAACAACAACACCCCCCCCCTTTTTGAATTGTCATTTGCAGCAGCTGCGAGCAAATATCCGAGAGATGGAGAAGCTCTGCCTACGGGTCCGGAAGGAAGACCTCCACACTTTGGAGAGGATGATCAACCCGGTGAAGGACCAGGCGTCGGGGGCCATCAAGGAGTTTCTGCAGCTCCATTTGGAGTCCGCAGAAGAACTGAAGAGGCAGTTTAAGGAGAAAGAGGCGTTGCTCCAGTCCCCTTTAACCAGATCAACCACCGTAGCAGGGGGTATGAGTGCATCGTGTTCCTTTTTCAAACAAGTACCATATTTTTCGCTCTATAGGACACACTTTTTCCCCTCCAAAAATTAAGGGGAAATGTGTATGCGTCCTATAGAGCGAATGCAGGCTGCACGGCTAAGCTCAAAGCCAGAACAGGCAGATGGAGCGCTGCGCAGCGCTCCGTCTCACTGTTCTAGCTTGGGGTTAGCTGCGCAAAGCCTCCGCAGGTCAGCGGGGTACCTTCACTCCGCTGCTCTGCGGAGGCTTCAAAGGCTGCGCTCCAGGGGCTTCAGGCAGCTATCTGAAGTTCCCACTGTGCTCGGAAGGCTTGTGGATAGCCGCCTGAAGCCCTCCGAGCGCAGGGCAAACTTCCGCTGCGCTCCCGGGGCTTCAGGCAGCTATCCGCAAGCCTTCGGAGCGCAGCAGGAGTTCCCACTGTGCTCGGAAGGCTTGCGGATAGCTGCCTGTTCTGGGGGCTGGGGTCGGGGGAAGCTTGGGCTCGAACGAAATCCATTCCGGAAGCCCGTTCAGCTTCCGAAACTTTCAAAAACTGAGGCACAGCTTCCGATTGGTTGCAGGATTGGTTGCACGTTCAGGTTCCGAAAAACGTTTCAAAACAGAAGCATTTGCTTTCGGGTATTTGGGACCCGCAACCAAAACGTACGATAACAGAGGCATTCGGGAACCGAGGCTTGACTGTGTTTCTTTCTATGTACTCTTCTTCTGACTGTCTCTGCCACCATCGTCTTCCCCAGTGCTCGTTTTTAGATTGTAAGCCCTCTGCGGCAGGGTTTCTCCCTGTTGACAGCCCTGCGTAAATAACGCTCATAGAATTGTAGAGTTGGAAGGGGTCCTGCAGGTCATCTAGTCCAACCCTCTGCAATGCAGGAATCCCTGACAGATGGCCACCCATCATCTGCTTAATAATAATAATAATAATAATAATAATAATAATAAATTATTTATACCCCGCCCATCTGGCTGGGTTTGCCCAGCCACTCTGGGCAGCTTCCAACAAAGTATTAAAATACAGTGGTCTGTTAAACGTTAAAAGCTTCTCTAAAGAGGGCTGCCTTAAGATGTCTTCTGAATGTCAGGTAGTTGTTTATCGCTTTGACATCTGATGGGAGGGCGTTCCACAGGACGGGCGCCACTACCGAGAAGGCCCTCTGCCTGGTTCCCTGTAACTTGACCTCTCGTAGTGAGGGAACCGCCAGAAGGCCCTCGGAGCTGGACCTCAGTGTCTGGGCAGGACGATGGGGGTGGAGACACTCCTTCAGGTATACTGGACCGAGGCCGTTTAGGGCTTTCAGGGTCAACCACAACACTTTGAATCATGCCCGGAAACGTACTGGGAGCCAATGTAGGTCTTTCAAGACCGGTGTTATGTGGTCTCGGCGGCCGCTCCCAGTCCCCAGTCTAGCTGCCGCATTCTGGATTAGTTGCAGTTTCTGGGTCACCTTCAAAGGTAGCCCCATGTAGAGCGCATTGCAGTAGTCCAAGCGGGAGATAACTAGAGCATGCACCACTCTGGCGAGACAGTCTGCGGGCAGGGAGGGTCTGCTTAAGAACTTCCAAGGAAGGAGAGTCCACCCCCATTTATCCGATGGCAGTTAAATCGAATTGGGGCGGAGGGCTGGGAGCTCTTTATCTCTTGCTAGGTTAACCCTCTGGTACGCATTATGAGACTTTGTGATCTTTCCACTCAGAAACGTTTTACGATGCCAGCAACGAAGGACTCTCTCAGAGTTACATCCAGACGTTCTCCCCTCTCCCCGAAATCCCCCAGGATCAAAACGCGGCGGAATCATGGGAAATGCTTGAGGAGGTAGGCTGGGCTTCTACTCTGAGGGTCCCTTGGAGAAATCTAGAGCAGCAGAAGGATAACAGCACATTCTTTTGGATCTCCTTGTAGGACTTGATTGAGCTCAGCAACCTGGTGACGGACTTCTCTCTGCTTGTTAACGTAAGTATGGCAAGATTAGGGTCTTAACATTCCTTCTGCGTTCAGGGGGCGAAAAGAAGAAGTTAGCTGCACAATTCTTACGTCTCTGGAGTCAGAAGAGGAATATGGGGAGGAATTTAGTCTGGCTTTCTGCAGGGGCCAGGTGTACGAGGGACCACATTGTGGAGAGCTGCCTTATTATGCACCCGAACTTCACGGGATTGACCTCCCCATGCCTTGGCTGATGCCTAGGGCATACAGTCCTGTTTTCGGTATAAATCTCCACCTATAATAATAATAGGGACGCGGGTGGCACTGTGGGTTAAACCACAGAGCCTAGGACTTGCCGATCAGAAGGTCGGCGGTTTGAATCCCCGCGACGGGGTCAGCTCCCATTGTTTGGTCCCAGCTCCTGCCAACCTAGCAGTTCGAAAGCACGTCAAAGTGCAAGTAGACAAATTGTGCAAGTAGATAAAGTGAGATGAGCGTCGCAACCCCAGAGTCGGCCACAACTGGACCTAATGGTCAGGGGTCCCTTTACTTAATAATAATAATAATAATAATAATAATAATAATTTATTTATACCCCACCCATATGGCTGGCTTTCCCCAGCTACTCTGGGCAGCTTCCAACAGAATTTTAAATTCAGTAGTCTATTAAACATTAAAAGCTTCCCTAAACAGGGCTGCCTTCAGATGTCTTCTAAAAGTCAGATTGTTTTTCTCTTTGACATCTGGTGGGAGGGCGTTCCACAGGGCAGGTGCCACTACCGAGAAGCCCTAACCCTAACCCTAACCCTCTGCCTGGTTCCCTGTAATTTGGCTTCTTGCAGCATCTACATGCCAACTTGTCCCTCCCTTGATATCACAGGACCTTGCATGCCAAATGGTGTTGGGGCTTGGTGGGCCGAATTTGGCCCCTGGGATGGAGGTTCCCCACCCCTCCTTTTTATATTTTTTTATTGGGTTTTATAAACAAGAATGGGACGCGGGTGGTGCTGTGGGATAACCACAGAGCCTAGGACTTGCCAATCAGAAGGTTGGCGGTTCAAATCCCCATGACGGAGTGAGCTCCCGTTGCTCGGTCCCTGCTCCTGCCAACCTAGCAGTTCAAAAGCACGTCAAAGTGCAAGTAGATAAATAGGTACCGCTCTGGCGGGAAGGTCAACGGCGTTTCCATGCGCTCCTCTGGTTCGCCAGAAGCGGCTTAGTCATGCTGGCCACATGACCCAGAAGCTGTACGCCGGCTCCCTCGGCCAGTAAAGCGAGATGAGCGCCGTAACCCCAGAGTCGGCCACGACTTCACCTAATAGTCAGGGGCCCCTTTACCTATAAACAAGAATAATGTTTTACAAACCAGCATACCAAGTTTTCTCATGTCATTTGTATATCGCAAAAAGAGCATAATAAACGTGGGGGAAAATCTACGACATATGTTTCATTGTTAGCGGTCAGTGTAGAAGTTCTTGGTTCATGAATTGGTTTAAGCAATTAGGAAGGGGGAAAAGGGGGAGGGGGAACAGTGAGTAGGGTCAGGTGGTCATGTTTCTATTATTCTACTTAGGGGGGGGGTTGTGTCAGCGTTAATTGTATGGCCCACCCCCTCCTTTCAAGGTTAATACCAGCAGTTTGAATTGGGCCCCCAAATGCACCACTAGTCAGTGCAGAATTACGCTCTGCGTTCAAATTTTCTGGCCCACGACCACCTAGGCAGCCACATTTCGCATCGGTTGACATTTCTGCATCGCCTTCAATGGCAGCCTTGTGGTGGTTGTTGTTGTTGCGTCGTTTAGTCGCATCCGACTCTTTGTGACCCCCTGGACCAGAGCACGCCAGGCACTTCTGTCTTCCACTGCCTCCCGCAGTTTGGTCAAACTCATGCTGGTCTCTTCGAGAACACTGTCCAACCATCTCGTCCTCTGTCGCCCCCTTCTCCTTGTGCCCTCCATCTTTCCCAGCATCAGTGTCTTCTCCAGGGAGTCTTCTCTTCTCATGAGGTGGCCAAAGTACTGGAGCCTCAGCTTCACGATCTGTCCTTCCAGGGAGCACTCAGGGCTGATTTCCTTCAGAATGGAGAGGTTTGATCTTCTTGCAGTCCATGGGACTCTCAAGAGTCTCCTCCAGCACCAGAATTCAAAAGCATCCATTCTTCGGCGATCAGCCTTCTTGATGGTCCAGCTCTCACTTCCATACATCACTACTGGGAAAACCTTGTGGAGAAAGTCCATTATTGTGGTTCAGCTTTGAATGGAAAGGGACGGAAATAGGCTTCAGCCAGAAAAGGCTATTTTTAGTTTTCGGAATCCAGGACTTCGGAAGGCTCCACGCTTGGTACTTTGAAGCGGGGTGTGTGTGTGTGTTTTTGTTCTGCCGTTTCTCTTGAAAACCCTTTTGTGTCTTTTAGGCTCAGCAGGAGAAGATTGACAGGATTGAAGATAACGTCAACACGGCCGCCGTGAATGTCGAAGAGGGGACCAGGAATCTCTCCAGGGTAGAGCAAACCAGCGCACTCCAGCAAACCAGCGGCACTCTGCTTTCCAGCAATACTCCATTGAATCAAAAAATCATAGAATCTTAGATTTGGAAGGGATTTGGAAGGGACCTCGAGGGTCATCTAGTCCAACCCCCAACAATGCAGGAATCTCAGCTAAAGAATCCCTGGCAGGTGGCCCTCCAACCTCTGCTTAAAAACCTGCTTAAAAACCAGTGGAGCCGACTCCACTGTGGAGCAGCTCTTACTATCAGAAGGTTCTTCCTGATGTTTAGTTGGAATCTCTTCTCTTGTCACCTGAATCCATTGGTTCGGGTTCTGCCTCTGAAACAGCAGAAAACACCGTTTTTCAGGTGACACGCCTCCCTCATAAGCTACAATGACAACTCAGCCTGGAGACATAAGAAAACCATAGGAAAGGCTGCAGTTCAGTGTCTCCTCCTAAGGTAGTCTTCAGAAATTCATAAGAAATCACATCGTTGTATCAATCTTCTCAGTTCCAATGGCATTTAGGACCCAGGGAAGTGAGGTATAAGGGGAGGGGTGAGTGAACCCACCACAATCGCAGGGTGATATCCTGCCCCAAGAGTGTCATACAGAAAACCATCTCAATCACAATGCCTACCCACCCTAGTGGGATGAAGCCGGGTCAAGACAAAGGGGTTTTATTTGACTTGACTCCCTGACCAGGGAACTGTAAATGCTTTTTCCTTTGTACTGTGATGGAGTGAGTGTGAAAGACTATATTTGAGTTGACAGTTAGGAAGAAGCATGGGAGAGAGCTGGTTTATTCTGTCTGTTTTTCTGTTTATTTGCTTTTGCAGAGAGTGCATATTTCATCTATTTCATATTGTTTTACGTTCTGCATGGATTATAAAAAGAGTTTATGTTGACGTCGCATTGTTGTACTTGGTCATCGTGTTGCCTTTGGATATTACTGATCTCCGGGTAGCAGGAGCAACCAATCCCACGTCCCACCCCCCGATTAACTACCGCTGTATAAGACAACGCCCCCTTTTTTGGCAAAATTTTCTAAGAAAAACCCTTGTCTTATACGTGGAAAAGTACAGTACTTTCTTGCAACACCAGCTCACTCCTTTCTCTTGTCTTCCTTCTTCTCTAGGCTGCCAAATTCAAGCTGGCTGCCCTGCCTGTCGCCGGCGCCCTCATTGGTGGAGTGGTTGGTGGTCCTATTGGGCTCCTGGCCGGCTTCAAAGTGGCCGGCATTGCTGCTGCGCTGGGCGGCGGAGTTTTGGGCTTCACGGGTGGGAAACTGATCCAGAGAAAGAAGCAAAGGATGATTGAAGGCCTCTCAGCTCCCTCCTCCTGCAGCTGCCCAGATCTCCCCAGACCAAGCGACCGAGAATGTAGCTGAAGGGGGGCTCCTCTGGTGAGCCCCCCGCCTCCGCTTTGGATCCCCCTTGCGCCCGACGGACCTGAAGAGCAGATCCAGCCCTGGCAGCGTTTGGAAAGGGTAACCCCCAGCCCCTCTCTTCTGTCGGGGCAGAGAAGGCTCGTCCTTCCATTTTGAAAACGGAAGCCAGAGGCAGGTCAGAAGGTGTGTGCCAAAAAAGCACCTTCCTCGTCCGAGAGTTAAGGGGGCGTTGTTCGCAAGACACCTTCTCCTGGAGAAACGGAAGAGGGAGATTTTAAGTCATAAATGGTTCAGTGCCTGGTCCGTCTTCTCTGCGAGCATACAAATAAATGTCTCCTTCAGGGTTCTTTGTGGTGGAATCCTTAGCCAAGTTTGAAGTTCAAAGCCTGGACTCTTTTCATACACCTGTTTGGCTCAGGTGAAGTAACTGACCCTCTCCTTTGCCCAAGTGCTGCATTCTTGGGATTATTTTTTTTTAAGGTGCAGACTTTCCCAAAACTTAACCTTTCAGGCTTTAGGACAGAAGTTCTGCGCGCTCTCTCTCTCTCTCTTTTTAAAGTGTTGCTTTTAGGAAAATCAGAACTGTGCTTTGCAAACGAATCTTCACAGTGTTTCAGGTTCTCTTCGGAAGTATCTGCTATCGACCACCAAGTGTTGGAGGACTCTGTGGTGGCCAAATTTCTGGATATATTGGACGGGACACTGATCTCCCATAATCCCTTTTCCCCATTGCCACATCGGCCGAATTCTGATGGGAGGGAATCAAAGATAACGCCATACTGTGCCATTGCTCCGCTGACAGTTGGGGTTTTTTTGCTGGGTGTTGAGTTTTCTGAATACGAAGCCTTTTTGTTTTTAAGTGCTCCAACGTTTATAAGTAAAGTTTGATACGTGCTTAAAAGGAGTTCCATTTTTCTCCGGCATAAAAGAAGTCTCAATTGAGCATCTGAAGATGATGTCTCTGCATCTCGGTCCTACCCAGGACTGGGTGGCAGGATGGGTCTTCTTGTCTCTCATCAGGGTTTGTGTCTTACCTGAAGCCCAAGACCTGTGGCTTTTTCGTTCCTCTGACGGTGGACTCAGGACTTCAACATTGTTGTCTGGCCTGTACAGAACAGTATACAGAAGATTAGGATTCTGGTGTCAGTGGGTCACTGTTGTGTGGGTCACAAGCACCACCCTCCACATGAAAACCACTCTTAAATATTTTGAACTTGCCCACCTAAACCCAAAGATGGTAGTGAGGTTGTGGGGAACGTCCATTATACGCCATTTGTTAAGCGGAGCAGCAAATTGTTTTACTGGGTGATTTAATTAAAGTGGGAGTTCTTAATGACATGGGAAATAAAAACCATTTTAAAAATTGTAGTTACTTGTGTGTTCAAAGACTGTCTTTTACAAAAGCAAAAGAAATCACCACTCGACCGTTTGATCCGTGGAGCTGCCACTGTCTCAGGTCCCACGTAATAGCCGCTCTGCATTTATCAAATCTTTGGAACTCCCTGCCTCTTGACGCAAGGCAGGCGCCTTCACTGTATTCTTTTTGACAACTGCCAATAACTTTTTTTTAGGTGAGCCTAACAGAGAGTTGATTCGAGTTTTAATCTGTTATTGTCGCTGTTTTGCTTTCTGGAGCCTTTAATTATTGTTGTTAATTCTTCCCAATAATTTCATGGTTTTCTGTGTTTTGTAAACCGCTTTGAGGGTTTTTAAAAAAACAATCCACCATTGTATAAATTTTAATGAAATAAGTATATCTATATATCTATAAAGAATGGAGGGATTTGTTCCCTTGTGCTTAAATGTAAAGGTAAAGGGACCCCTGACCATTAGGTCCAGTCGTGGACGACTCTGGAGTTGCGGCGCCCATCTCACTTTATTGACTGAGGGAGCCGGCGTACAGCTTCCAGGTCATGTGGCCAGCAGGACTAAGCCGCTTCTGGTGAACCAGAGCAGCGCACGGAAACGCCGTTTACCTTCCCGCCGGAGTGGTACCTATTGATCTACTTGCACTCTGATGTGCTTTCGAACTGCTAGGTTGGCAGGAGCAGGGACCGAGCAACGGGAGCTCACCCCGTCGCGGGGATTCGAATCGCCGGCCTTCTGATCGGCAAGTCCTAGGCTCTGTGGTTTAACCCACAGCACCACCCGCGCCCCTTCCCTTGCGCTTAGGTGCTGCAAATTCAGGGTTGTTAAGGAGTTTGGTTCTGTCCCCGATGGCACCTCTGGGAAAGAGACTCCCTGCCTGAAACTCTGGAGAGCTGCTGCTACTGCCACTCCGTGTAGACAGTATGGAGCTAGATGGACCAGCAGCCTGACTCGGCGTCTGTGACTTTCTAGTTTAGACAAAAGGTGAGTCTGGGGCAACACAATAGAAGTTTATAAAACCCTTCGTGGAGAAAGTGAACAGAGGATAGTTTTCCTCCCTCTCCTGTAGCACTCGAACTTGTGTCCGTCCAAGGAATGTTGGAAGATTCTGGACCGATGAAAGAAAGCTGTGATTCCTTGCATCGCAGGGGGTTGGGATAGATGTCCCCTGGGGGTCCCTTCTGTGGTTCTAGGAGGGAGTGCAAACTATGTCAGCCTATCCCAAGGGAAAAGGAATAGGAATAAGAATGAGAAACCTGCTGCAAGAGGATCATAATTCTCTCCTCCTGAGACCTTTGGGAATTCACAAGTCTCTCAGTTCTCCCAGAAGGCCCAGAGGGGGCAGCAGTGCACTGCCTAATGTCACAACAAAAGAGTCTTGTGGAGTCTTCAAAACTAAAGAACTTTATTGGGGCATCAGTGTTCATGAACTAGAGTCCAATTTGCCCAAGTCTATGCATGGTTATGGGGACGCGGGTGGCGCTGTGGGTTAAACCACAGAGCCTAGGGCTTGCTGATCGGAAGGTTGGCTGTTCGAATGAGCTCCCGTTACTCAGTCCCCACTCCTACCCACCTAGCAGTTTGAAAGCACATCAAAGTGCAAGTAGATCAATAGGTACTGCTCCGGCAGGAAGGTAAACGGCGTTTCCGTGCTCTTCTGGTTCGCCAGAAGCAGCTTAGTCCTGCTGGCCACATGACCCGTCACAGGGATTTGAACCGCTGACTTTCTTATCGACAAGTCCTAGGCTCTGTGTCCTTCTAGGGACTCCTTACACTGCCTTTAAAACCAAAATTGCATTTGGATAGAAACTGTTTCTCAGGTGGCTAGTCTTTATAACCCTGTACCTTCTTCCAGATGGCAGAAGCTGAAAGAGATTATTTCCTGGGTGCGCACTATCCTGCGCTCTTTTCTCAGGAGCAAGCCCCAGTAAATTTACCGGAACTTTGCTCTCTCTCTCTCTCTCTCTGAAGGTCTTGCAACGGCAAAACAGGCTCACCTCCACAAACAGCCGCTGGAGGGCAGCCCAGACCCGTGTTTGGCAGACACCTCTGAGCGCTGCAGCACAGTCAGGGTTAAACCTTCTCGACTGCACTTCCAACATGTGCTTGGTCATCAGTTTCTGAACAGCTCCTGGGTGTGTGTGTGCAGGAAGCAATTGGGCTTCTGTTGCCTTGCAGCTGTGTCAACTGCGTGTCTGCATGCATGCACAGGTGTGGGGATGCGGGTCTGTGGCTCCTGAGCTGCTTCGAGGGGAGAAGCTGTTGCGGCGCAGCTTCTCCCATCATCGCCAGGCAGCGGCCGGGACAAAATGCCTCGGGTGAAACTCATTGGTGCACCCGAAGAGCACAGGAGCCCTGTGCTCCATGGAAGCTGGCAACCCTGCCAGAAAGATGAGTTGCTGATTTAGGCGGCAAGGTGGCAGCGGAGAGTTATTTAAGCTGTTTAAAGCCCCATTGAACTTTAAAGGGATTTCAGGAGCGCAACTGTGTGTGTGTGTGCGGGATTATTGCCGCTCCCTGGTGGGTTTTGAAAGTGTGCCTGAGTCTCTGCAGAAAGTGTGCTGAGTGGGCATATATTTCTGTGTGGAGAGAGAGAGAGACATGCTTAGATACAGATAAGAGCATCAGAACACACCTGCGCCAGTTCTGGGTGTGGGTCTGTAATACATGGGTACCTTTTGGTATTACAATAAATTCCGATAGAAATAAAACCTGCCCATCACAGCCTACAGCCTATTTGCCAGCTTAAAAGCAGACCTGTTCCCTTCTCTGCTTCTCAAGTGACCTGATTCCACCTCGATTTTTTAATGAAAGAAATCTCTATTAAAAGCTGCAATCCTATGCATAACTTACTTGAGAGTAAGATGAACACAGTGGCACTTACTCCCAAGTAAACCTGCATACAAGTCAGTGCACCTGAGACTTAAACAGGCCTCAGGTCAAAACACACTTTTGACCTGAGAAATTACAGACCGTTGGATATTTTAGTGGACCAAAATGGCCAGTGAGTTCTGCAGGCGTGACATTGTTTTTAAACATTTTAATGATTAACTAGGGCATTGAAAATCCTGGTTTTGAGATCATGTTTATTTCATTGGATTGGCCAGGTACAGTGGTACCTCGGGTTGTATATGCTTCAGGTTACATACGCTTCAGGTTACAGACTCCACTAACGCAGAAATAGTGCTTCCATTTAAGAGCTTTGCTTCAGGTTGAGAACAGAAATCGTGCTCCGGCAGCGTGGCAGCAGTGGGAGGCCCCATTAGCTAAAGTGGTGCTTCAGGTTAAGAACAGTTTCAGGTTAAGAACAGACCTCCGGAACGAATTAAGTACATAACCCGAGGTACCACTGTATTGAAAATGTTGCTTGATAGCCAACTCAGCTTGGCTCATTCCAGAAGCTGCGCTTTCTTTAAATGCAAGGGGCAACTTCAAAGCATGCCTGGTATCTGACACATGGGAACTTGCTGCAGCCTAAAAACCTAGTGAGAGCTATGCAGGATCAGGCCTATGGCCCAGCAAGCCCAGCATCCTGAACTCACTGGCCAACCAGATGCTCCCTTAGGGCAATCCTGCAAATAGGACCTGAGTGAAACAGCAAATCTCTCCCCACTTGTGACCCCCAGGACTCAGGAGCAGACTGCCTGGTTCTCTGTAACTTTGCTTCTCGCAGGGAGGGAAGTGCCAGAAGGCCTTAGGAGCTGGACCCTGGTGTCGGGGCTGGATGATGGCAGTGGAGACACTTCTTCGGGTATACTGATATACAAGTGAGAGATTTCAGATGTGTTGGAAAGGCAATGCTTTCCTCCTCATTCTCTTTCTTCACCATCAGAAGAGAGCTTCCATGCTTTTCTTCTAGAAAGTGACTTTTTAAAAAAAATAATTGGGCGTAGAAAACAAGAATGAAATGGGTGAAGCAGCCTGTGGGATGTGGGAGACAGAGAATGAGGAGTTTGCTGAGGCTTGGAAATGGACCATTTGGGAGATACTTCTTGGAGATACCTCAGACCACCCACAACAAAGAATGCTTAGCTCAAGGGCCAATATTCAACAAAACAGTTGCACTAGTGTGAGGATTAGCACTAGTGCGATGGGATTTCCCTCCTCTCACCCACCGTTTGTGCCCCACACTGTCCCCAAATCGTCTCCAGAGGATTGGGGAAAATCCCCAGAATTTAGGGTGTGTGTGGTGAAGAATGTTCCATTGTGCAGGGAGGAATTGTTGAATTGACACACATAGTGGTATATTAAAAAATTCCTTCCAGTAGCACGTTGTTGTTGTTCAGTCGTTTAGTCGTGTCCGCCTCTTCGTGACCCCCGGACGAGAGCACGCCAGGACCTTTTCCCTTGCCTGCAACGATCCTATGTTGTTGTTGTTGTTTAGTCGTTTAGTCGTGTCTGACTCTTCGTGACCCCCTGGACCAGAGCACGCCAGGCCCTCCTGTCTTCCACTGCCTCCCGCAGTTTGGTCAGACTCATGCTGGTAGCTTCGAGAACACTGTCCCACCATCTCGTCCTCTGTCGTCCCCTTCTCCTTGTGCCCTCCATCTTTCCCAACATCAGGGTCTTTTCCAGGGAGTCTTCTCTTCTCATGAGGTGGCCAAAGTCTTGGAGCCTCAGCTTCAGGATCTGTCCTTCCAGTGAGCACTCAGGGCTGATTTCCTTCAGAATGGATCGGTTGGATCTTCTTGCAGTCCATGGGACTCTCAAGAGTCTCCTCCAGCACCAGAATTCAAAAGCAAGTAGCACCTTAGAGACCAACTAAGATTGTTATTGGACAGTGTGCATGCACACTTCTTCAGATACACTGAAACAGAAGTCTGTATATGAAGAAGTGTGCATACACATGAAAGCTCATACCAATAACAATCTTAGTTGGTCTTTAAAGTGCTACGGGAAGGAATTCTTTTGTTTTGACTACGGCAGACCAACGCGGCTACCTACCTGTAAATAGTGGTATATGTTGAATTGCAGCTCTGTTTCGAACAGCGTCTTCTCTT